GGGGGAGGGGTAATCAACAAAACAACGGACATCAAAACCCCAGGTATTGATACTTTATGCATATGAGGCAGTACCTCTATTTTGTAATATGGACAAAATGGACTAAAAGCTAAAAGAACAGCATGTCTAGGTAGTAAAAAACAAATATGCATTCTTCTTCCAACAATTCCCTTCAGTAAAAGTGATCCAGATCTAGGAAAAAGACAGCATGTCACCTCTGTATTTCCTTATGAAAGTTTGAATTCTTGTGCAATATATGTTCCAAATCCAGGGAAGTCACTTATCAATTAAAAAAAAATGACCTTTGAAATGGATGCTAACTCAACAGATTACAGAGGCAAAAAAAAAAAAGCACATTCAGAGTTAATTCACAACAGAGATTGTGTCAGAAACATCTAAAAGAAGACTCCACGGGCAGCTCTAAGCCAACAGATTCAAGCCTAAAGATCAGCTAGCCAAAGAACAATGTAAAATGTCCAAGATATATGAATAAGGATTTGCTTGTCCTTGCAAGCCAGAGAAAAAACAGGTTTCAGAGACAAAGCTTCTGTACATGCAGCTTGAGGAAGGAGGGAAGTGACAAAAAACTTAAATCCTCAGAGACATGCATGTACGTCAGCTACCGCCAGTGCCAAGCATGATCAGCAGCCTTGCCTGACCAAGCTAACGAGCTTAACAGAGCTAACGAGACTGGATCAATGCCAATCAGCATTAGGGAAATCATGTGCCAGGCCAGAGACGCAGCTAATCCACAGGAAGACTGTAAAAAACACTGCACAAGAGCTGCCGGAACTCACAGCTACCGGCTGCCAAAGGCTCCTACCATTAGAGGCTTTTTTTGTTTGGCTTTGGGATATCAAGCACAAGACTGCAGCCCAGCATGACTTGGGGATAACAGAAGAGAAAGGAGAACAGTGTGCAAACTGGGAACGTGTTTGCATGAGCGGCGCTAGCCTGGAACGAGGAAAAAGGGAAGGGCAGCTTCCTCTGGTGCAGGTTCCAATTGTTCACTCAGCACGGCCTCTGAGCTGGGCAGCAGAGCTAGCCAAAAGTAACGAGTGGAAGAGCATCAGCAAGTTACTGTACATTTCAGGAGAAAAGCTGTTATCTTCATTTCTATGGAAAACCAAAAGGAAGAAAAGAAAAAAAAAGACTTCCATTCTACAATATAAACTACAGCATAACATTCTCTGTTCGGTGCCATTAAGGGCAGGGTTTGCCTCCAGCTCAGCTGTCATTCACCTCAACAAGAAGCACCCAGGCATTTACAAATCAGGACTTGCATCAGAAGTAGTAGAAGAGAAGGCATAAAAAAAAAGACTTGCACACACAAACTGGAGTTTGGCTAATTGGGAGAATCTAGGGAAGCTCCACAACAGGACACCAGCTTGTTAGAGAGAAGAGAAAAACAGGGCTCAGTGAAGCTGACACAACATAGCTGAACATGAATACTCAGTCCAGAAAGGCTGGGATTTGCAGCGATATGGAGCAGAAGCTGTGATTAACAAGGCATTCTAACTAACAACATTTTCCAAGTCAACAGAGCTAACGTTGCTTTGGCAGCCTATTATGCTTTGCTTTTTTAAAAAATACACCAACAACCATAATTCAACAGTCTTTTTATAGTAATAAATTAAACACAATGGGACAGATGCCTGTCTTGGCACAGCAAACATTCCTTCAAAGCCACACTTTGGCTTCCTTTACCCTCTATTTGCTTTAACAAGGTCCAAAACATTAACTTCTCCAGATTCAAGACACAGTTGTTCCTACCCAGAAGCCAACAGAAGCTCCTGCTCCTCTGACAAACATAAGCCCCTTCAGAAATATCATTCTGGAGTCTGAAAACCGGACTGAGAACTTGCAAGAAAGGCAAGAGCCCCCTCTGCCAAATCAGCAGCTTTCCCAACACCCTGATATTGCTCCTGCACCTACCACATATGGAAACAGCGACGGGAGCTCAGATGGCCTGGGCAATTCCTTGGAATGCAACTGCAGGCAAAGACGCAACGCGTGGCTTCTGCTACCAGCAGCAAATCAGAGCCTGCATTTATAGTTTATCTGTATTCCCGTATATGCGTGCGTCAGCATGGCAGCACCTTGCCAGGCAGCATCAGACTGCAGCCAGAACTGAAGGTCAGTTCCAAAGGGCTGCTGTGGGTACTGAAGCATGGCTGCGACCAGCAGCACGCTGCCTCCGCACAGGCTGCAGGGCAGGTCAGACACAGAGCTGGCAACGGGGTACTGCCTCGAGACCAACCTCCTGTCAGTACTGCATCCACCATTCTCCAGCAGAACAAGGCTAGAAAATTGCACCTACCGGAAGCAGGAAACATGCCAGGCTTCATTAACTGTCCTGTAGAGGCGCTGACCAGCAGCAATGAGGTCCCCACATCCCAGGCATCTCCAGACTTCTTCACCTGTATACAGGAATAAGGCGATGTCAACAACCATCTTACATCAAAGAAAACAAGGATTGCTGCATCCCCGATACAGAACAGCCCTAAATTACACCAGGCATACTGTAGCCCCAATGTTTAGGGATCCCAAATTGAACTCTAACATCCTAAACCCCCATTTTTTCCCTCCAGACCTAACATCAGCACGTGCTCCTCCACATTCTGCAGAAGAAAACAATGTTACTTTTCACAGAAGATGGCACAGTTAGAGCTGCACCACTCATTGGAGCAGAGATTTCAGGTGGAGATGGGCCAAGTGTGACAACTCCTACAGCCATGCTACGCCAGGAAGGCACGTTACCATTCCCCTCATGCCACTGACTCAGCACGTAACATTTCTGCACTTTCAAGTAATTAATTGGATTTCCCAGAACAGGAAAAAAAACAAACCTTATTCAGCAGAGAACAACTTGACTACCAGGAAGGAAATACATACTCAAAAGGATATTCCTGCAAAGACTGTGCAACCAACACTGCACTGGAGCCAGGCTTAGGAAGAGGAATAGCTGCCACCGCCTGCTGTCCCTTCAGAAAATACTGGCAGTGTTCAAAAAGTCATAAAGCCCCAGAGACAGCCAGGACGCATACAGGCTGGGAAAAAGAACAACAGTACAAAGACTCTAGCACTAATGTGGCACAGAGAAATGCTATCTGAGATCCAAGCAGATGTTTGGGTGCATTCAAGAGAGAGCCGAGGATGTGGCTGAGCGCAGGATGGCACAAAGAACACATCGTGCTGCTTCCTTCTGCTACTGCAAGCTGACTGCAGGAAAGATGCACAAGGAAAGAATTGCGCTTAGAAAAGGAAAACCACTAACCACAGACTTCCAGTTTCTAAAGAGTGTTAAAACTCGGCGGTTGCTCAGCGATTGCCCCTTCTTTCTGAGGCTTTCCTCTGCAGCTTCACCCTGCAATGTAAGAAAGCTCTTACACGGACCGAGCGACAGCTCCCAGTGAAGGGAGCTGCCCTCACTGCCCTGCGATCAGTGCGCTTACAGCAGCTGTCTGCTGCCAGGGAGGGAAGCTGCAGAGGATGGATAGCTCAGCACTAGGAAGGATGCTTCTTCCGCAGGGACGGTGCTTTCCTTACCCACAGCCTCTTTAGAGTGTTGGTTTAAGTTAGGGTTAGGGTGCTACTCCTGCGGCACAAGGCATCAGCGAGGCACAGCTCTGCGCTCAGCGCGTAACAGCAGGAGAGAGGGCAGCTCTCAGTGACTGCGAGCGCTCCACAGAACAGATGCGCCCCGCAACGCAGCACCCGAACGGCTGGAGCAGCAGCCCGGCAGTCACCGCAGTGTGAGAATTTGAAGCGGAGCAGAGAACCGAGAGAGACACGGGCACCAGAGGTCAACGAGACGCCCGCTCTGCTCGCCGTAACCGTGCCGACGCCGTACGGTGAGCGGCTCGGTCGGCCAGCAGCTCCGTCACGTCCGAGCGGACGAAGCGCAGCCCCCCGCCACTCTCCCATGGAGATCAGATGATCCCCGACTCTTCGCCGCCGCAGGAACTCGCGGCGCACCGCCACGCGGCACCGCCGCGGCTTCGCACCTGCGGGGGGGGGCCGGGACGGCGCCGCGGAGCGCCGCACCGCCGCGGGGAACGTTCGGGCGGCTCGAGGACGCGGAGGGCCCGGAAGCCTGCGGAGCCGCGCCGCTGCGGCCCGACCCCACGGCTCCGCCCGGACGCCGGCAGGAAGCGGCGCGGCCCCGCCACAGGCCCCGAGCGACGGAGCGGCACGCCCGCTCCGCCGCGCGTCCCCGCAGCTCTCACCTGGCGGCCCCGCCATGGCCTCGGGCCCCGCTGACGTCACCGCCGCGCCACACCCGGGCCGGGAGCGCGCCTCCCTCAGCCTCGCGCCGCCGTTCCTTCCCTCCCGCCAACCGCTCTGCCGGCGCCGCGCCACGCCCCGAGGGAAGCTCCGCCCCCTTCCTCGCCGCAGGCCAATCGGCGCTCCGCCTCCCTCACGCTCCGTCGGAGAGAGCGAGCCCGCCCTTTCCGCGGCGAGGACCAATCGCGGCGCGGCCGCGGCCCCGGCCCCGCTCTCCACACGCGGCGGCGGGAGCGGCGGGTCTGGCGGTGTCGTCCTGCACCTGGCCCGGCCCGGCGAGCCGCCGTGAGGGAAGCGGAACTCCAGCCTCCCTCCTTCCCGAGGCACAGCGCAGAAGCGGGCTCCTCGGCTCGATCGCCAAGCACAAAGAAACGGCAGCTCACTCCCATCAATATAAAACCATTTTTTTTTCTTTTTTTCTTTTTTAATTCTAAATCACTTTCACAACAGTGAAAATTAGTGAACAGTAACGGCAATAACGCACTGAACGAGCCGTCACCGGCTGCGTGCAGCCTGAATACGAGGGGAGCGATAGGATACAAACGCGGCGTGACACCTCCAGAGCTTCCGCCCCGCGACGGCCAGAGAAGAGCCGAGAAGAGCCGTCCGCGCCTCCATCCAGCACGGCTCCCAGGGCGCTGCAGGGAGGCACGGAACGCTGCCACTGCCCGGAGTCACGTCTTACACTTACACAAATAACCCACTACAGTTAATCGAGGTGCCCTGCCCAGCAACTTTAACCATACACGTTAACGAGCTTAACTATGGAAACAGTTTCTAAGACTTGATTTGCTCTGTCAGTTTGTACGTCTATGATGAGGGAAGTCACAATATTCATCTCGCAGGAAATCATCGTGACTAGCAGTGATCTGAATCAAAACGATCTAAAAACAATAGAAGAAAAAAAGGAAATGGAGTTGTCTAGTCAGAGAAATATCAAAATTGTTCATCTCATTAGGAAATCCCTCGTGTCTGCTCTTCTGAAGGAATCTACACAAATATATCAGGAATACTTTTAAAGCTGTACACCCAACGTGATTCCAAACGGGCTACATTTCACCTTTGGAAATATTTTCCCCTTGGCACAGAGATGGTCATGGTCTCCTCCAGCACTTCTAATTCGTGTCTTTGGTAGATACTGACGAGACTTGCACTGTAGCCGTTCCGTGCCATCTTGTAGCCATGCGTGGCTGCACAGAGAAGCTCTTCCAAGTGTTCCCTGCTGTGGCATGTGCAGGATCTCATTTTTCCTCCCGCGTGATTTTACAGTATGCCATTTTTAAGCTCTAATCTCACTTGAAGATGCCCTCCTCTCTGTCCCCAAACTTCAGGGTTGTTAATGGGATTTTATTTGCAATCTTGTGTAGAAAGTCTCACAGCCCTGGGAGAAAGAAATGTAGCTGCAGTGGCAGGGATGGGAGGGGATTATCCTTAAGTGCTGCTGCACAGAACCACGGAAGGCAACACTGTTATGTCAGTGAGGAACTGGGCTGGGTGAGGCAGATAGGCAAGTCCTACTGCTCGATAACCTCACCCAGCTTCATCACAGAATCTTCCAGTGTCTGGCTCCAGCAACTTTAGGCTTTAAAAAATTTGCAGCATAAATTAGTAGCTCTTCTAACCACATCAGGCAGGAGTTTTCCATTGCTGTGGGAAACAACAGCAAGAAAAGAAACCAGTCTCCACACCTGGTTCCGTTTGTATCACATGCTGTGCCCAAGGAGTCTCAGCCGTGCTGCAGATGATTTCCTGAAGAAGGCTGGATGATTGAAGAAACTGAGTAACACCCACAGTGCTGGCAGATCCACCGTGTTTGCCAAGCATGAGATACTGATGGCGCTGCAGAAGTTTCCTTACCTGTCCAGTCTACCTTGGGGTAACTGTCTTTCACATAAACCTATTGTAACTGATTGGCACAGGATTTCAAAGCAGCACTCCTTTTAGGAGCAGAGCTCAAAGCTAGGCCCAGGGTTTGTGGTCAGAACCTGTTGTACTAGACAGCCGAGCTGAAATACGTTTTAACCAATGTTTAATTTCCAACTGTAGTGCAAAAATGTGAGATTCTTCACTGTGCTGCAGTACCACCAATTTCTGAAACCCGTCATTAGCTACGGAACCAGACACCAGGAGGTTTAAAATGGGATGGGAAGCAGTTTGTAACTGTTTCAGTAGCCTTTCTGGCTATGAGTATTCAGAATAATGGAAACGATTTATGCAATCAACAGCCAGAACATAATCACCAGAGCCACAAACAGGAAGAGGCGGGATAGGAACTGCTCATCCACATATTGAGGAGTCCCTGGAACAGCTGGAAAACAGGAAGTAAAACACGGCTCAGCATCTTCCTCTTCTCTAGAATATTGTATATTCTGCATATAGTACACTCATTACATATATATAGAATACACAAGAAATCCACCTGCTAAGAAACTGCTGCTGCCAGTACTGCCTACCCCTAGATTGGCCATCCATGCTGGAAAACTGAAGAGAAGCACGAGCTCCCTGCTGCAGGACCTGTGGCAAGTTTGCTCATGACTAATAGCAGCAGGCAGCTCCAAGTGCTACAGGACATCCAGATGTGCTCAGAGTACTTCTGGGGACAGCACTGAGCCACATTCACTGCTGACAGGTGTTTCCATCCTAAGGAACACCACCACCTCTACCTGGGAGCTCCTGCCCCTCAAGGTGAAATAACTGAGTAAATAAATGGTAGGACTGTGTGTGTATTCTTGACTAACAGAACTAATGAAAAGCATGCAAATTTAAAGCTCAAGATGTGCCTTTCTGACACCTGCATATAGACACCATTGATGAAATGAAGACAGAGGAGCTGGTTAAACAATGGCTATGAGAGCAGCATACATTTCCATTTCCTTGCTCTGTCACATCTACACACAAACTTTCAGTGGAGTGTGACCTACAAATGATAAGTAAATTCGGTGGAACAAAGGGCAGCACAGGTCTTTGGCAATGCAGGCGTGACATGAAAAACACGCTTCTGTTTCTTATGATTTCTAAACCATATGATGTAGTGAAGAATATTTGCCAGGCAGCACCTTTTGCAGAGGAAGTCCAGAGAAAACCTGGGCTGTAGGTTTGTGTGTGTGCAAAACAGGCAGACTCAGTTTGACTACAGTGCAGCTGGGAAGAGGTTTTCTGAGGTTATTCATTTTTAGAGAGCAAGACCACTCCAGGAAATCAGACAGCAGTGACATATGAATAAGCCCTCACACAAAACATGTCAGAAATGGACTGTGTTTTTCCACTGCATGTTTTTCCTCTTCCTGTATTTCCATGTACAGTACTGATTTACTTTACTATTCAGCAAGTTTTGTCATTTAACAGGTTATTTGTTTAAGTTACAAAAGGGTTTGTAAAATATCTGTTTGTGATAGGACTCTGAGCAGAAAGGATGCATGGTACCTGGAGGAGGTCGCCCATCATTTATGTTGAATGCTGTGGCAAATATACCAAAGGGAAACGCCCCGATTCCAAATGACATTTGGAAGCCACCATCTCCAAACCCAAAGCCTTGGAACCCCTGCAGAGAACAAAGCAACAGAAGAGAAAAAAAGGTACAAATAATTTAAAGCCTATTTCAGAACTGTTTGCCTTTTAGCCAGACTTCTAGTCTGCCACTGTTGTTCAATACCTCCTGAGCTGTCATGCTAAAAGCATTTACCACAGCAACCCAAGAGTTTGAGAAAATGACAAGTAGGAATTGCACTTTGTGCTTGAAGGCTGCAAATTAACAGAAATGTTTATATAAACCTTTTCTATTTAAAACAGTGTGTATAAGACAATACATCAAAATCAACATTACCAGAACATTTAAAAATTGTATCAATAATTCTGTATTAACAGCTATTAGCCACATAGCTATAAAAAAAGATATTGTGGAGAATAACCTGCATTGATCTTTTGACACACGTGCATCATTTAAACCTTCAGTAGACGGCCAGTGGGATGGCAGTGGCCATTATAAAGAGCAGTACCAACACCCAAACAAGCTAGAGAATCATGTCACAATTCTAACTGATGTAGCATATAATCACCAAAGAAGATTTACAGTGCTACAGCATTGACCCCAGACTAAAATTCCACATCAAATCATAGAGTGTTCTGAATTAAGATGAACCCTAGTGTATAAAAGCAGTGCACCATTTAAATCAACTAAATATTAATCTAAGTAGTTGTGTCACGTTTAAAAGGCAGACGGGTCACTGCTCTGAGTTCTATAATCCAGCAAAGTGTTTTCTGATCTCAGAATTAAAACTGTGACCAACTGTGAGAAACCCCTCTGATCACCTCCAAACATTCAAGGACAAATATGACTTCATTCACATAATAAAAGCCAGACATTTCTGCTCTGATACTCGATCATGACTCTTGTCAGATGCTATGCTATGAAGGATGCTGTAAGGGCTAACTGCAGGGGACAGCAAAGCACTCTGCATGACAAGGCCTACATTTGCAGGAAGCAGGAAGGCAGCATCACTACTGCTACATCTTTGAGACTCCCCTGACATACTGCACCAGCTAAAAGCTGGAATGCAAGGACAGCAGATGATTTAATAAGAAAGCAACTCCCTAGTGAGAGAGAACTACAATGCTCCCAATCTCTACAATACAGAAACGTTCCTTAATCACACCCAGTAGAGCTGTTTGCTTGAGCCATGAGGCACCTGCTCTCTGAGGACCCTGGGCTGAGTTACCTGGAATGAAACCATTGTTTCATCAGGTCACTGTCATCATGCCAGAAAACACTGTGGTCTGCTCTATAGCTACTCCCACATCTCTAACGTACACCAGCTGCTGTTTACATTCACTCTATGTAATCTCCTCAACAAAACCACAAATCCCACTTCAAATTTGCACATATCCACCAAGCACATCTACTTTTCTTCTTAAAATGCAAGGGTACACCAACATCCTATAGAACTTTCAAAGCAAAGCATTCCTTATGACTGCATAAGGAAAGCTGTCAAGTATGAAGAACAGCATTTCCAGCAGTTCCACAAGGGTTTTCATCAAGCACAATTCAATTTATTGCATTCTTTAGGACTGTAAATAGCACTATGGGAATGGAGTTTTCTGCCACACAGCACCTATCACCTATTCATAAACAGCCTCTGGGGATCTCTACAGGACCTTCACACAGGACCTTATGCACACATTGTGTCCTCCAAGATGAATAAGCACCACCATCAATGAAAACAAGCTATTTCCTTGAGCTTTTCTTTTTTTTTTCCCCTTACCCCTCTGTTCTCTGGTTCAGGTCTCTGTCCTTGGGGTCGTGGTGGAGTTTTCTCTCTACAAAAAATTGTAGAATTAGCTCAAATTTAAGCACACAGACAGCAATATCTGCAATAGGTTGGTTCATAAGACAGAACAAACTTGGAGAATGCTCTCACAGGGCCATGCTGCAGCAACACTGAAAATAACATGGCTGAACAGACCCAACAGCTACATGAACTTTCAGGATCACATTCCTAAGATGATGCACTTTTCAGTACAAAAAAAATTCCATTGCAAAGGCTGGAAACAGGGGATCAACAATGAAGTCCATGAACATTTTATATAAGCCTCTCCAGTCAGATAACATCCATTGAAGTCTACTACTTCTAACTGTTAATTAACAACAAATTAAAATAAATTGCCAGTCAAATAAGGAATGCAAATTCAAACCCTAAAACAGCCAGAAATATTTAGCAGAATTGTCATTTCTATCAGTCTTTTGACACCATGTCACACTGTGAATCCAACACTTCGGTAGTTTCACCTTAAACCCTAGCAGTTGTCACACAACTCGTTGTATTTCTGTTTATTACCTGGGGTCCTGTTGTCCAGTGCTGCCTCTTCCATACAGAGGAATAACTTTATCTCGACTGATTCCTGCTTTGCAGACAGGGCACACTTGTCTGTTTGGCCTGGTTTCTAACCACTAAAATAAAAAAAAAGAAAAATTATAAGAAAGCTAATAAAACCATGAAAACAACATGCAGACCTAATTTGTAGCCAGACAGATTTTAGGAACCTATCAGAAAGCTACAGAGCAAAATGTTGCACCAACTAGTAAGTACTCTCCATTAAAGCATTGCCATTTTGGCTATTGCTCTGCCACAATCCACTTGCAGATGTGTACACCATTAGAACTGCACTGGAAAAATGCAAGGAAATAGGCAGTACCAACAGCTTTGCATAAGCCAAGGCCTTGCACATCCTATCATCCTGTTCTATAATGGCACCACAAGGTAAAACTTACATTTGCAGCAAGAAGGACACTCAGCATTTAAGGCTGCAAACTAAACCTTCATGAACTGCCTACAGTAACTCTCCTACCAAAACCAGCAATACCTAATGGGTAAGAAACTGAAATGTGGGAAGTAAGCAGAAGAGAATCTAAGTTTTCTTTATGCTCAAAGTCTAGACTGCAAGTTCTTGTGCATGTTGCAGTTGTTCTGGAAAAAACAAAGTGCATTTGAAAAGGGGGAGGATACTGCAGAGAACCAAGGGCTTTACTGAGTCATTGGAGCTGATGAAAGACAATGCAAAAGGAAACCTTTCTTACCTGGTGTAAACAAGGCCAGCTGTGAGCGTTCCCAGGACAATTTGATCACAGAGAAGGAAAAAAAAAAGGGGGGGGGGTGTGTGTGAATATAATTAGTTACTCACAACTTGATCTCGCTAATGTATAAAGTGCACCCCGGATAACACAGCTTAGAGACAACAGAACCTTGGAATCCAGTTTGTCCAGTTCCATAACCTCCCATTAAAGCAATTTTTAAAAGCACAGCCCAAGCCCGATCTCCAGGTTATGCAATTTAACTATGTTGCTAACATGATCATCTCCACATCACCTTTAATTCCTGCACCTTCATCTACACCAAAGCCCCAGACAAAGGCTTAATTCATCCTGTGGTATTTACTGCAAATGATCTCATAGAAAGATATCCCTGAGTTAAGATGCAAATGAGAAAAATGCCAGTAATGAGACTCCAGGATCTTAATAGAATTCATGAGAGTCATCTGTTAAATGTTAAAACATTGGGCACTTCCGTAGAACTGTGGAATAATTGAGGCTGGAATGGACCTCAGGCTGCCTCTTGTCTAATCTGTTGCTTAAAACAGGGCCAGCTGTGAGATCCAGTTTGCTCCCCATTATACAGAACTATTCCTGAGCTTAAATTAACACAGCAACTGAAGTACCCAAAGGAAAAAAAAGAAACAGAAGCTAAAACTGCTCAGCAGCCATCTGCTTCCAGAGTGGCCTTTGCAACACTGTTCAACAAAATACATTCTATTCTTTAAGGTTCTATTCTTTAAGCTCCATTCCGTGATAGCAGACCTTCCAATAGTTTAATCTTAATATGACTTCAGCAAATTAATTCCCATCTCCTTTAGAATAAAGGCCTGTACTTTTAGACATTACATACATTAGCACAGAAAAGAAATGCTCTTTTAGGCCTCGTTTAATTAACGAGCATAATTTAAACTGCTGTATAAAACAAATTACCCATGTCAATTTTCGTAACATTTTAATGTTCAAGAGTGTATTCTAGACCATGCTACCTAAATAAGAAGCTGAGATGGAAAAGAGAAGCAGATCACATGGAAAAGCACGTTCCCTCAAAAGAAAAGACTGCAATTTGGCATCTAGAACCTGCTGTCAGATGGGGTTGTAAGTATGTAAGGAATTTTAAACTGTAAGGAATTTAGGTGTGAAGAAGGTATCTATGCTAGCCCAGCCAGCACACAGCAAATAACAAACGTAACCAATCAGCTTCTAAAGGGCTTTGCTTTTACAAAAGAAGGTATAAAAATTTAAGATGCAAAAAACTTCCTTCCCGGAACACGGGCATTTAAAAGATAAAAACAGTTCTGAGGCAAACCCAAACTGCTTCTAACCCAAACCCACGGTCCTTACTTTAAGACAAAAACTAATTTTTATTCAATAGAATTATAAACAGAAGGTGATCACAGAGATGCACGGTGTTCTGTTTATCAGTGGGGACTTGTGTACTTACCAGAAGAGATGTCCACACAAGCTGATAACTGCATCCTTGGCAGTGTCTAAACAGATGTTACACTCAAAAGTGTTGTCCTGATTAGTGTTGTCCCCAGCACCATTACTGCTGCTGCTGCCACTGGTCCCTCCAGCACTGGAGCTCTTTGTTGATGCAGAAGTTGTAGGGCCTTTACTTGCCATCCTGAGGAGCTCCCCAGACACAAGAGCAAGAAAATTTTCCTGTTGGAATCCTAACAGTGAGAAAGGGAAAAAAATACCCACATTATTGGCATTATAGCATTGCGTTCTTGTCCTTATTCAAACTAGCAGTAATTTACCTAAGAAGCACTTGAATCCTATTGTTGATGGTTTTAGTTTAATGTAGCTTCTAAAAAAAGCTCTCTCTAAGCTACTTTAACATCCTGCAGTAGGACCTGACTTATCACATGGCCTGTATCTTAAACTTACTGACAAGAATCTGAGGTCCACAGTCAAAATGAAGCCGTCGTATTTTCTCATAAATGCCATTTGCTGAGAGAAAGATGAGCTCACCTAGTCATACTGCAGAGCCATCAAACATGTCTAACAATCATAGCAGCAACACAGAAATTACTGAACTGACACGCTTTCAGCTCTCTTTGGTATCATCATTTTTACCAAAGACACCATTTCTTTTACTTCAGTAGCAACAACTTCTCTGTTGCAGGAATGTGAACACCTAGAATAGGCTGTGAGAGAGAAGCAGGCGACTATCTGAACCTTCTGCCAAAGCACAAACAGTAAAGCATTTGCAAAGGGGAACCTGAATTTTTCAGAAGCTAAATACTTTGCAAACTTACCCCAGAAACATTCAAAGCTTCCTTAAGTGCTCCCTCTTTGTAGCAGTGCTGAAGCACAGGCTCAGGACAGCAAAATAAAACCTCAGTATCTGTAGCTGTTACAGTCAAAACCCTTTTCCATACAACACAATCCAACCACGCAGTGAAGTAAGCTTCATACACAAGCCTCATGAAAGTTCTGCTGTGGTGACACTGAGCTACAGCAAGGGAGAAGAGGAGATTTATTCCTGCAGAGCCTTTTCACTCAGTTACATCATTTTGCACAGCGTCCCAGAAGGGCAGCTCAGCATTCACAGATGCTGCACTTCAACACACACTGCTTTCAGCACTGCTTAGCATTTCACACCATCATTTCAGTGCAGCAGCAAGGTCCTGCATTGTACTGAATTAACATTCATGGTAGCTCCAAGCAGATGAAAATGCTGCCAGATGATGAACAACACGGTAAGGAAGCCTAGAGTTTTCACACATCCCTACTACCAGAACTGTTGGTAGCTCCCATCTATCTTGCTCAGTAATGCTTGAAAACTTCCCAGCTCAGACCTATCCATATGTGCTGGCAATTAATATCAACATTAAGAAAGTCTTCCTAAAACCAAAGGGTTCAAAACATGAAACACCACCATGATTTTATGGAACAGGCACAAGAGATGCCTGGTCCTCAGACCTGGGCACAACAGGCAACCATGCACGAGTTAAATAAGTTAACTTCTGTACCAATGTGGGAAGCAATGTTCTTTTCTCCAAATTCAATGCCCTATCTTTAACACCAGAAATACACAGATAATATCTTCACCTTCACTAACATCTGATTGAAAGAACAACCAAAAACAAACCCAAAACAACCAACTCACAGCCCTTAGTAACTATGAGAAAAATAATTAAAAAACAAACAAAAAAAGACCAACAGCAACTTATGAAGAAATACACTGAGAAATCCATAAGGATATCATTATTGCAATGGAATAAAGACAGCTGAGACAGAAAAAAAGACTGAAATAATACAATGTGACAGGCAGTGAATTTTCTCTCCTAGAAGGTCTATGGTACTCTGCCCTGGAACCCTCTCCTAATTCTTTCTCCATAGGCTTACTGAGCTTGATGACCTATTAGGATTTAAATGATTTGAACTGTCGAAAATATATCAAAATGCAACAATAAAAAATAAATAATGTTATCCTGAAAAACCTTCACAGTGCTTTCCTCTTCCCTATGCACTGCTGTTTAACATAACCAGGTCCACAGCAAGTGCTCTCCACGTCTGTTCACCTGCAAAGCACACAGCACGCTTACAAAGATGCACGCTGAAGTGGCACTGAGTGACTAAAACGTGCACTGTGTGCTGCATTACCTGCAACGCAGTCTGAATGCTCAAGTAGGAGTTCAACTGCAAATTCAACTTGTTCCAAATGTCAAACAAACTGCAAACTCTTGAAATGGCACCTGAGCCTAGTTAAACTCCAAGGCTCCCTCCAAGTTAACCTCCAAGAACTTGGAAGGGAGACACACAGCAGGCCAAACAGACCCTGTTTTCTGTCTGAATTAGAGCTCAGGATGAAGATTGCGAGTGCACTGGCACATACTACAACTTCTGGGGTTAAGCAAACAGAATTTAGAGAGCAATGACCGGACAGATGCCAGTCTAGGTTTGCTAAACCCTCATCTTTGATCAGCTCTCCAAATCAACCCTAGGAGCACGAGCTGCAAACAAGTGAAAGCACATAAAAATCAGCTGTGACCTAACTGCAAGCATGCAAAGATCTTATTTTTCTTTCTTGTTTTGTTCTCTGAATATTTGCAGGAATTACTGCCTTTGCTAATTATAAGCCATTTATACCAGCTGTTTATTTCACTGTAATCATGACCCCTATAATATCCCAACAGGCTGCTCCAAAAGTGACAGAATCACTGGCATTCACTGCATCCAGAGCACCAAGAGTGCCAACAGGTGAATGGTTATGAAGCAAGCCAGCTTCAGCAATCTTCCTCAACTAAGGAAAGCCTGGCGGGAGGCGAAGACATGGAAATGAAGCTACATGTTTAGGGATCCAGCAGGACTCCCAGCGAGGTGCTGAAACTGCAAGTGCAGCTGGCAGAGCTGAAGCTGGAGCTCCAAGAAGCAGATGGTGCACCAAGACCTGAGCGTACCATGGCAACTGAGAGCAGCAGGTGGACCCTGAAGGAAGTAAGTGTGGGAAACCAGGCTGTGTAGTAATAAAAATGTCACTGACAGGCAGTAAGGAATGTTACTCAAATCCCTCAAAAACGAATCTGTAAATATAGCGGGAGGAGCTGCACACTAGTGAATGTAAGCCCAATGGATACTGTAAAAGACCGTATTTCTGGGCTCACAAAGTGACTGTGTTTGCTAAAATACACTGACCTGACTCCAGAAATACAAGAGAAGCTGTTCAAGACAGATTGGGAGAGTTTCCACTGTAAGTTAAAAACACAGAAAATATTCCACTGGAAACAGAGCAGAGTAGGTGAATGATAACTGAACAGAGACAGAGAGAAGCTGATGTCATTAGAGTGAAACAGCTACAGAATGTATGTTCAGAGCACTACCACATCAGAATGTTTTAAGTATTTCATTTCTAATCTTTTGTAAGCAGTAAGGGGAAAAAAAACAAAATAAAACAAAAAACAGTGAGGCCATAGGACTGGTTGGTTTACTGATAAAACTTGAAACTTGTTTCTTTTCCCAACATCTAACACATAACAATCAAATAGTGCATTGTTAGATTTAAATTCGATGAGAAAGACACTTCTCCACCCTTTTTTGCTTATGAATCTTATTTTATCTGGGACTTCTGAAACAATCCAGCCCTCATTCATTTCTGAAACGAGCTCTGATTTAGTTTGTCGACTTCCTGCTGTTTTAATGGAAAGGAAGATGTGTCAGTTTTTCTCATTACTGCAGTGGTAATATCATTTTTTTTTTATACATATGTTATAGAAAAGGAAAATTAACATCAGAATTCCTATCAAAAATACTGACAGAATTTATATAAATACTTCTCGTTCATAGGGTTAACAGAAATCTGATTCTTAACCCATTACAGCTGTCTGGACTTCAAGTAAAAGCCACAGATGATCTGAGCTGATAATCGTTGGCAGCGTCCAGAAAAAGGTACGTTTACTTCTTGACAGTCATTTTAAGGTAGAAGTTAGCAGATACGTGACTGAAGGCACACTGTTAATCATTAAAGGCACTTTTATATCTTGTTACATTTTTACTCTGCGCCACTTAGATATTTTAACCCTTTTGAAACATTCCCTGTAAATCCACCTTTTCACTTCCCATAACCCGGGCAGCACCACGCACCATAAAGCCCCGGGATCCAAATCTGTGCCATCATCTGACCGTTCAGAAGCACGCATTTGTCTGACAGAGCAGCGTGCCCTCGCTTGGCCTCATTTTGTTAATTGGGATCCTGCAACACAGGGCTGCATGACAGGCGCTGCTGGGGTACAGCCCTGCTGAACAGCTCTGTGGGCAGCTGGAAGCAGCCAACACAGCTCACCAGTGCACCTCACCAATGTGCCACGCTGAGACAAGCTAGCAGAAAAGCAACTATGTAATTCTCCTTTATAAGTCGTTCCACAGAAATGTGATACTCTGAGAAAATGTCCTAGGAATGTCGAAACAAAGATTTTCTTCTCTTACCAATAAGTCTAAAGGGGAAAATTAAACAAGAAAGAGCACCGATAGAAGCAGTTGGGTAAAGGAGCCGAGCGTTCTCCTGGCCTGGTGTTACGTAAAACACCGAACGATCTGTAAGCAGGGTGACCGCGTTAGCAGCGCTACGTGAGAAAACAGGAACGGGGCCGCGGTTCGGTAAGCGCGGGGCAACGAGAGCAGGCACTCGGCAGCTGTTTGGCGGCCCTGCCCGCAGCCAGGCGGGAGCGGCCAGCGGTGCTGCGCTGCGGGCTCCGGACGCGGCCTGGGAAGCACGGAGCTCCGCCACCGAGCGCCGGCAGGCGGCCGCGGGCCCGGCACGGCGGCGGGGCCGGAGGTCGGGCAGGAGGGGCGGCGCCGCGGGCCCGGCGGAGCGGAGCGAAACCCGTGCCGGACCCACCCCGCGCTGCCGACACCGGCCCAGGGGCCGAGGCTGCCGAGGCGCCCCCCGTCCCGGTCGGTCACAACGGCTGCGAACGGCTCCGGCCTTCCGGGTCGCCCCGGTGACGAACCGGCCCGATCCTCGCGTTCCGGAACCGCCGCGTCCCGGCTTCGGCTCCCCCCGCCCCCTGGCCTCCAGCCGGGCCCGAACCCGAATCCGGACCCGAACCCAGACCCGCCCGCCCGTGCTCACCGGCGCTCTCGGCGATCCGCAGAGCCGCTCCCTGCCCGCGGCCGCCGTCACCTGATCGCCCCGGAAGCGCGGCGCGGCGGAAGGGACCGGCCTATCGCTGCCGCTCCGCGGGGCCGCGTTCCGCCCGTACCGAGCTGTGCCACCGTGCCGTCCTACGGAGCTTCCCACCGAGCCGTCCCGAAGCTGTCCCGGCCGCACCGCCGGGAGCACAGCCGGCTCAGCCGCCGCGTAGCGCTGCCCCGGCTCCCCGTGTGACTTTTGGCTCTGCTCTCCCCGCAGCCCGTTCGTCGCCGGGCGCTGTGTCCCGATGCCTCCCGCTGCGACGAGCGCGGGCTGCGCGTCATCCGCGGCAGAGAATGTCCGGGCGGAGCGGAGGAGAAAGGAAAGCGGCGGCGAGGCTGCGCGAAGGGGTGCGGAGTGCCGCGGTCTGAGCAAGAGCTGCTCCGAGAAGGGAGCAAAGAGCGTTGAGGAGGTATTTATTTATTTAGCTGTGAGAAACTGAGGAGGAGAGGACGGGCCCGGCGCTGAAGAGCTGTCAGCTGGGAGAGGCACGGAGGCGGCACCTCTGGGCTTTGTCCCTGCCGGGCACACGCTGCCGTGACGGCACTGCGGCTCTGCGTGCACCTGACGGTACGGGGAATCCCAGCCCGAATCACAGTGCCCTCCCACTAGAGGCGAGCTAAGGGAGTGAAGGTAATCAGTGGGGCTTAATGCCGAAGGAGCCTTTCTTACAGAGACCAGGGATGCTGTCTGAGGCCTGGGAACACGCAGGTCTCATGGCAGGTCCAGATGTGCCAGCTGGGAATTGCTCAGTGTAAAAGCATGCTGTGCTGAGCCTTCGTGCTGCTTCCAGTAGCACATCGGCTCGGTAAAGCTTGTATCAACGTAGTGATCCAGCAGCACTGCCAGAACTGCCACACACTTGGTGTACTGCAGGAGGAGACTTGTAGCTGTGGTGCTGATGAAGCTCATGTCCAAAAGCGGCAGTGCCTGTGGCCTAGGACAGGCTCTGTGAAGCTGTCCTAACAACACTAGCTGTGTGTTTGCTGCCTGTGAACATTTCCTTAGCTGAGAAGATAAAGCGGCATGGCTTGGCACAGCTTCAGCATGTAAGCAAAAATTTGGCGTCTCAATATAGTATCAAATGAGTGAGAGGTTAATGGGACCCCAGAAGCGTAAATGTATTTAAATGTATCCTCCAGATGCTGATTAAAACGAGGATGAGCTTCTGAAATTTGGACCAGCTTAGAGTAGTCAGCATGTAAGTCTACAGTCAAAGGCATTTCAGTATAAGTGAAGTTGTTTGGGGTATTATAATCACGAGTAAGAGCAATGCTCAGAATAGTCTCTATTGTTTGGGTATTTTATGATAACAAAAGTAGCCTGGAAAGAAGCAGTGCTGTATTCAACATAGCCAGGGAATACTTTCAATCCCCAGTGTTCATTTTAACTCTTTATGTTTTATATCTCAGAAGAATTAAATATAATTATGAATTTCTATAATGCTTTATCTACAGTTCCTTCATTCCCTTGTTCCAATTTCTTTTTAAAATGGAAAAGATCCAGAGATGGAGAATCAGTAAGATTGAATGAGTGGAAAGAATGGCGTACAAGAACAGAATGTAAATGTTAATCTTGTTTAAGATAAGGTTAACAGGAACAAATTTACTTGAAATAGTATTCAGGTGGGGAACATACACGGAACACTCAGTAACTCTCTGCCAGTGACAGTGAATGTAAACTGAATGGCTTTAAGTGATGCCAGGGGATACTTGCCTTGCTGAGCAAGGAAATCAGCTTTCAAAGAAGTCAGCATCACCTTTGTAATGGGGAGGTGCTGTTTATGTGTATTCTCATGGTGTTATGTGCATCATTTTTCAGTGTAGCTGGCAGCCAGTTACTGATTAGATGCGGACAAGACACCCCATAGGCTGGCTGCTGGTTCACTCTCATGGTGGGCATGAGAATAAATGACTTGGATTTCGTCATTTTTCATGACCTAAGTCACGAGGCTCACACCATACTTATGGCTCCAAATATTTATGCTGTGTATAGAGCCCCTCCTAGAATTCTCTTAGCAAAGAGATACATAGATGAAGAGTCCAACGCACTGATTTTCACATCAGCATTTTTCTCATCAAGTCTCCATTTTACATTTTCAACATAACTGTACCTTAATTCAGTATTAAATCGCATTTGGAAATGCTGTTCCTTGACATTGCCATGCAAGAGTTCTCATTTATCTGTGGCTTTTTTTGCCTTTGTCCCATAAGAGGAGCAGTTTCCAAGACCTCCGGCTCACTTCAGTTTTCAGTTTTCAATACAGCACCAAAGTGGTGGGAAATCATTTATGCCCGAAACGCGTCCCTCCGTGCCGACGGGCAGAGCCTTGGGCCGCCTCCCTCGATCCTTACTGCCAAGCGTTCTGCCTGTTTCTAAAAGCACAAAAGCGACGCCGTCTTTCCGACACCATCGGTCTGTGTTCACCCTCTACCTGTGCGTGCTGTTACAGCCGAGAACGCAGGCACCGCATCACCCGCACCCGGCAGCAGTTATGGGGCGTCAGACGGACGCGAGCCGCGGTCCCGGTGGAGCGCTCCCGAAAGGGCGGCGCGCGCCGCCAGCCGCGGCCATCTCGTGGGGCGCCGCGCCGCGGGACCACAGTGCCCGGCATGCCCCGCGGCCGGCGGACCGGCGGACCGGCGGGAGGACTACAGCGCCCGGCATGCTCTGCGGCTCCAAGATGGCGGCGCCCAGGGACGGCACGAGCACGGACAGCAGTTCGGACTCGGAGAGCAGCGGCGGGGCGGCAGCGCGGTTCCGGGAGGCGACCTGGGATTGCGCGAAGCAGCAGGCGGCGGGGCGGGCGGAGCCGCGAGGCGGTGAGGGGCGAGGCGGTAGCCGGGCTGTGCCCTGCTTGTGCCGGGCTCTGGCCGCAGCTCTTTCTCACGTAGTCCTTCCTTTGGCAGGCGGATTTCCAAAGGATCAACGGCAGGCTACTCGGCCCAGCCTAAGGTATTGCTCTGCGGGCTTCGGGGTTGTGTTTTGGTGAAGAAAAACCCGAGGTGTGCTACTTAATGCCTTGCGTTGCCTCGTACTGAAAAGCCTTTGGTACAATTGTAATCTGCAGTGATGCTTAATTCTAATAAATTAATGAATTTATTTTGGAAGTATATTCCTCATCCCTCTAACAGTGAAGCAAAAGCAATTGAAAATAAATGTCTGCTGGCAGTTTCAGCAGGAGTTCAAGTTGTCGGAAAAGCTCTAATTCTTCCATGCCCCTGCCACGCAAAAATTAATAGTTATGTATCACAAAACTTCTCATTTAAAGAATGGAGGGTTATATACAGAAGGGCAAATAATAACAATGTGATTGCAAAGCCAATCATTTGTTGGGTGGGAAAGCAGTGTCTGAATTAAGTGCCTTATAACAAAGGGGGTGCTGACCTGTGTAAGCTTGCAGCATTTCTGCAGGCTTGGTTTCAAAAGCTGTCAGCCTTGCAGCTCAGTGCCATCCTTTCTCCTGGGACAGATTTTGCGTGAATTGTGGCAATGTACTCAAGAAGCTCCTACCAGAGGAGGGATGTCCTGCCATCATTTGTTTGCTTTTGCAGGCTATTTCAATGAGAAAATCATCCTATTACTTTCAGGGAGGTGGCTGGATGATGTTTAGCTCATTGTTCGGAACTGAACTGTTGAGCTCTTCTGCTTTACTTGGCAGTTGTCCCTTATCAACTCAACATGAATTAGTTACTGCAGGGTAGGAGATTTTACAGCCCCCTATCTCCTGTTTGAGTGAGAGTATTGGATGTTATTGCTCTTGAAGGAGGTGATCGTTATTTTATTTTAAACAGACATGAGGTGAATGACCATGATGAGGATGGAAATGAGCTACAGACCACACCAGAGTTCAGAGCACATGTTGCAAAGAAACTGGGAGCAATGCTGGACAGGTATTAGCATGTACTAAAAAGGCTTGTTGTATGGGTAGAGTGCAGTGATGCTTCTGTGTGCTAAAAGCAAGAAATTAAAGATTTGAGTGCAACTTGGAGAAATTGTTTTTTTCTCAACTCCTTCATTCCTGCATTTAATGCAAACTTCCAATATTCTGTGAACTAATTTGGCTCACCTGTTATGTCCTTCTGGTAATGACTTCTTGTGCAACACTGCCAGCCTCCATTTACCTCAGTTGTAAATGCATTGTAGAGAGGAAGAATCATTTTATTATTATTATTATCATCATTTAAAGGCAAACATAAGAACCTTTCTCTCTTGCACCTTAAAGCTGTACGCGGTTCAGGATTTTACTGGCAGTGTGCATCTGTCTGGGCCTGCTGCTGTCTTTGTTATGTGTGTAAATATCACCCTTGGAACTGGAATTCCTGGTGTTTAAAGTTGGCTTTTAGAACTAAGTCATTCTTGTGGCATATGTTGCTGAGGGGAGGAGGCACAGTCTGCTCTGCAAGCAGGGAATTGAAGCTTCACTAAAAAAAAAATAGGAAACCATAACAGCACCCTGGTCTCGTTTCCTATGAATTTCCAATTTTAGCTCAGTTTGTACAAACCTATCTAACATCTAACCAGAGTTTTCTGTTTAGTTTCATCACTGTCTTGAAGGATTCATCAGGACCTTCACCAGCTCGTGTGCAGCAGTCTGACTGTGGAGATGATGGTGAGTCCTAGTCTTGTCACGTCCAAGTTGTGGCCATTTGCTGATGCAGTTAATCAAATAATAGCAAGTGAGATGGATCCTGTCCGGTGCCAGTTGTAGTTCTAGCTCTTTACTGGCTGAAGAACACTAGCACAGGGTTTATTAGCATCAGTAAAGGCCGTTTCCTTGTTGTGACTGTTGTGTCCTAACTTTGCAGACTGACAGATGATTGTTACCAAGTGTAGCCATCTGTTAACAGCAGCAGGCTTTCCTAGGGAGACTATTGTGGATTGCTCTCACTTATTCTGTATTTTGGCTAAAATTCCTTTCTAAATACATATTTTAGGTTTTCGCCTCTTCTCCTCCTCTGTCCCAGGAGGCTGTGGGCAATCAGAGCAAAGCCCTGCCCCAAGGAGGAGACGGCCGCCTGGTTCCAGGTGAGGTGCTGTCAGCTGCTTTGCTCCTCAAGTGCTATTCCAGCCCTTGTTTTCATGTTTCAGAGGCAGCAGAAACTCTCCCGTGGGATTAGAAAGTTGAAGAGCTTAAGTGGTGTGTTTATATGACTGATACTTGAAAACAGCAATTTTCTTTTCTTTCTTTCTATTTTTTTTTTTTTTTTTTTAATACAAATAGGAGATGTAAACAATTTTAAATGCTGACTGTAAGAATCCTGGATCCACTGGCTGTTCATTCCCTGTTCTGATCTTAGATAGTTCTGCTTTCAATGCTTTGGATGAATTCAAGGCAAACATGTAGCATAACATACAATCTTGCCCCTCACTGCAAGAAAGATATTGAGGCCCTGGAACGTGTTCAAAGGAGGGCAACAAAGCTGGTGAGGGGTCTGGAGCACAGGCCATATGAGGAGAGGCTGAAGGAGCTGGGAATGTTCAGCCTGGAGAAGAGGAGGCTCAGGGGAGACCTTATTGCTCTCTATAACTTCCTGAAGGGAGGTTGTAGTGAGCTGGGGGTCGGCCTCTTCTCTCGTGTCATTAGTGATAGGACCAGGGGGAATGGTTTCAAGCTACGGCAGGGGAGATTCAGGCTGGACATGAGGAAGTATTACTTTTCAGAAAGGGTGGTCAGGCACTGGAATGGATGCCCAGGGAGGTGGTGGAGTCAGCGAGCCTGGGGGTGTTCAAGGAAAGGCTGGATGTTGTGTTGAGGGACATGGTTTAGTGGGAGCTATTGGTAATAGGTGAATGGTTGGACTGGGTGATCTTTTAGGTCTTTTCCAACCTTAGTGATTCTATGATTCTATGATTCTATAATTTCCTTCCCTTTCATTACCTTTCCAGTGACTCAGACAGTGACCAAGAGTGGCAAAAGTACCAGGAGGCTGCTGTGTCAGCAGCAGACATTCTGAAGCAAAGTGCTTTTCCTGCACTGTCCCAGGATTCCAGCCAGAATACGTGTCAGGGTTATGTGGAGCACAGACAGAAGAAAAAGAAGAAAAAGAAAATAAAGGGAGAGAACAAAACTGAAGAGAAAATAATAGACCCAGCAGATTGTGACCAGGACAGCAGAGATTTGCCACGGTTGGATTCTGCAAATGGACAACATAAGAGACAGGACAGCAATCATACAGATAACAACACGGTGTCACCAGGAGCTGTGAAGAAGAAGAAAAAGAAGAAAGAGAGAGAATAAATGCTTTGCTGTGCAGATGGGCAGGTGATTGTGATGGATGCTGGGAAAAAACAAATGGAGTTACTGCAGATGAGGGAGAACTAATTTGCAAAGCTTTTGTTCTAAAAGCTCTGTGGCCTGGGAGTCTAATTAAAGTGACTTCCTATGTTCTGACCTCCCTTGGGGAGCATTTTTCTCCTAGCACAGCAGTTATCTGTGCTGCTGCTTGCAGTCCTAGCGCGACGGGATTAAATACTGTACACAGACCAGTGTGGTGGAGGGGTGTAATCATAGCTGCATCCCTTCTGATCTGTTCTCTCACATGCTGAAACCAAATCTTGTCTCTTGGAGAAAGCATATGACGAATTGAAGTTGGTTTACATGGCAGCAGGTGGTCAACTTCTTTTTTGCTTTGATTTGCCTGTGGGAAACTCATTTATTGAAAAGCATTGCCAGATGTTAGTCCCTGCCCCCCTCCATTTTTTCCCCCTCTATGATTATGGTAAGGATCTGCTGTTGAAACCTGCCCTGTTACTGATCCCTCTGTAGTCCACACCTCTCCAGGGCCCCTGTGTGTAAACAAAGGTAGCAGTGAGCTTATTTTGAGGTTGTTAAAAACCAGCAGTTCTGCGTCCTAAATTTCTCTTAGAGTGTTTTCTAGGGTATTTTTTTTTGTTATTAAATTCTTATTCACTGTTAGTCTGATTTAATTTGGCAGGTTTGTGGGACAGCAGCTTTCTTGTGTTCAATAGCTCCCCCAGCAGAGACAAAACGGGCTGAAGATGGCTTTTTGTTTGATTGCTGATCAATGCTGTGAAATTGGTACAGGAAATACTTAAATCTCAGTTGCTGAATTTCAGACCTTGTTTTGTTTCATATGACTTTTGTCTGTGAAACACAGTGGGTTTTGGCACTTAGCATAGCTCTTAGTCTGCCTGTTTCAGCTGCAGTATTCCAAGAAACAACCTGTTACTTGGATCAATACTCTGCTCCTGTTGAGTTTCAGTAGGTCTAATTCATTGGCTCTATTCAGGAGACCTAAAAGCTGGATTAGAGAAACCAAAATAGTGCGCTGATGCTCTTTGAACACAGGAAGGAAACAAGGTGTTTTCCTTCCTATTCTAAGATCCTTGCTGTTTGTCACTCAGGAGAACACACTTGGCATCCAAAAAATGGATGAAATAGAAAATTGGCTTGGAAGTAATCTGGATGTGACCGAAATTATTTGTTTTATGGCCAGTTAAAACTTAAGTGTACTGAAGCTAGCACCTCAAATGTCAAATGCATAACACTTTTTGCCTTGTTTTATATGTTTTTTTGTTTCTGCTTTTTCTGAATGGAAGTTAAAATTGATTTGCAAGTAATGCACATGGGCGATTAGGAAATCATCCTTGCATAAAATTCCTTGGAGAACCTGGTTACCAAAATTAATTTCTGGTGTTGGGTGGTATCTAGAGGAAGCTCTTGCAGGCACAAACTGTTATGTGTTATCTGCAATAGTGAAATTTCCAGGCATGATAACCAAAGAGTTCACTGTTTTTTAATTGTTCCATGTATCTTAATCTGTTCAGAATCTTGAGCATGTTCTGCTGTCCTGCTCACAGTAGCAAGAACAGCCCTTATCACAATGGCAAAAACATGTTAACTGGGGCTTTTCGTATGCCATGTCAGTGATATAAAGATTCAGAGTAAATAAAGAAGAGGGGAATAATTAGAAGAGGAATTATGTATGTAGAAAGTTTTCATTTAGTGCAATGAAGGCTTTTTGACTCCGGGGGAATTATTTTCATATCAGGAACTACAGAATCTATCCTACAGGGAAGGCAGGAGTGAAGTGTTCTATAACATCCATCCAAGTTGGCATTGTTACAGAGAACTGAGGGAACTACTGCTGTCTGTGGAGCATGGAGCCCTGCTGGATGTTGTGCAGTGTCAGGGACCTGTGGGGAATGGCACCCCTGGGTCACTCAGCAGAACGTGTGAGATGAGCATCCACGTGGTTAATGCAGAGAGCTGAAGTCTCCTTGCAGCTGTTAAACTTTAATTTCTGCATTTAAAACAAAGCAGAGCTATATATATAAAAAAAAAAGTAACCAAGCCATTTCCACTAGGATAGCATGATTTTAGAGTAGGTCATTTTGAACTGAGAATGTTTGGGATTTTGTAGTTAATTAAGGGGTTTACGACTTGTAGTCCATGATCTTGTACTGACAGGTTTTTGCTGAGCCATTCCTGATTCAGTTTCTTGGTGACTTTCATTGCAAAGTCAGAAGCCAGGTTCTCACTCTTGCCTCCAAGTTGATATTATCTCTCATAATTCCAATTCAGGTTTCCTTACATCAAAGGAGGAGGAGAGTGCTTTAAAGATGGTGTCCCTTTTTTGACAGCTCAATTTTTCTCTTTTCTGCATGGCTTACTTTGGTGTAGGCAGGTTTGTACAGGTCCAACCTAGTGAAGGTGAGCAGAACCAAAGTTCCACATACATCTTGGCATTTTTTTGCTGTATTCCAGTCAGATCTCTGACTTTATAGCACTCCTTCAGCATCCACAAGGATGTCTGGTCATTCTAGGCTGGCTTGTGGGGTTGGGTTTGGTTTTGGGGGTCTGTAGATCCTATCAGTGCCGGCACCACTGTTCCATAGCTCCTGCTCTGAGCCTGAGCCATCTCTTCTGGAGGCAGCTGGATGAGGGATTTATGAGGCAGTAGGGGCTGGAGGTTGGCTGACTGCAGCAACCATTCCTTCCAGTGGAAGGCAGTGGTGACAGTGACAACAAACACAGTTGGAGTTGCGCCTTATGCCTTGTCCTGGCAGCTCCCTTTGGGTGGTTGTCTTGGTGTTACTGAGTGGAGGATGCCATCTGCGTGGAGATGAAGGTCTCAATGACGTTATGGGTGGATGGCAGCAGCTGACTGTGGCTGTTGGTGGAGTCAGAGCTCTGGTACAGCACCAGGCTGCTGGAGGACACTGTTAAAAGCACAGGTAGAAGTTAAGTACAAATAATCAGTGCAGTCCCCTCCTCACACGTGCACCTATTTGCAATATATGGTTTAAGAGAGTAAGTGGCTGCTCCTCTTACCAGCAGGGCTTGAGGTGAGGCGAGGACCAGACTGAAGGTGCTGGATGGTTGTGTCTTGGTTCTGTAGGTGTATCGCTGGTGCCTGCGATACTGGTGTATGGATCCCAGAGTCTGTGTGGGTTTCTGAGTCAGGTGTGAATGCCTGGAGAAAAGAGTTAACAGTGCCTGGTTTCTTCATCCCTACTAACAGACGTGGGGGAAGAGGATTAGAAAGAATGAGCAGGTGCTGTTTCCAAGGAGATTAAATCCTTGATGGTGCAGTGAGAAGCTTGCTCTAGTGTCTCCAGCAAGGCAAGGAGATGAGATCATTCTGCTGGGATGGCATTGACCACACACCCAAAAGCTCTTTGAGAAGCAAGGAGCTCCCAGCAGACTGATGCAGCTGTAAGGTGGGGGGGACACATGTGCTAAGGCTGTTACCTGTTTAGTTGGTGTCAGGTTAGTCAGCGCGCTGAGATTGGCTGTGTCTGTTATCACCATGGTTTGTGGGAGGAGGCCTGTATGTGTGTACTGGGCCACTTCAGACTTGGGGCCGTAGAGAGCTGTACACAAAACAAAAAATAAAAACCCAACAAGATCATGTGGGAGCTGGAGCTTTGCGTGAGGTTGGTTTGGCTGAGTTTCTCTCTTCGTGTGTGCAGACCTGCTGCCTGTCTCTGAAATACTGGGAACGGAGGGGCAGGAGGATGAATGCAAGAGGAAAATAATTTCATAATTATAGCAATTAAGTTTCAGATCCAGCAAATGCTTTAGAACAAAGTGTTTTGTTTTGTATGAGCAAATGAGTTTGCACTCTTACCATGGGGGTTCTGTATCTGGGCCATGGTAGCCATGAAGGGGCTCTGGTTGATGTGGCTCTGGACCTGCTGCATGAGGGGCTGCTGGTAGGACGGGTGCAGCTGCTGGGAGAACTGGACTGGCTGCAGGGTGGTGAGGCTGCTCCCCATGCTGTTTATCACAGGTACACTCTGGGGCTGGGTTGAAGTCAGGCCTGAAAAACAAGGAGTGATGACAGCGGCGCTGCACGCTATGGGAGGAGCGGCTGCTCTGCAACAGGAGCCTCTGAAGCAGTCACAGCAGTTCTGTCGGAGCAGTGGGATCAGATTCTGCTTTGCAGGAAACCCCTTTGTTCACTGTGACTGGGAGTAGATTTCATGCCTATGAAAATGAAGCAGGTAAGTGCAAAAGGAATAATGCAGGCAGCTACTATAAAAAGCTCCTCCGACTTCCCGTGTTTGTTCCTGCAGTGCCTCCTGTTGTACCAGTACAGGTCGCTTCCCTCTTAAGTGATAACATGATGTAGATTTCCACTGGGGAGTCCTCGCTCAGAAGTGAACTCAGGGCAACATCTCAGTGTCTCATTCCTTTATTCTTTCCTTTTATATTAAGTTGTAGGTAACAGATGACTGTGCTGTAGCTGCCCAGCCACACGGAATGAAGTTTAAGCTCATTTTGTTTGGGCTGCTGAATTCTGGAATTTGAACCAGTGAGAAAGGCAGAAGGTTTCACTCATCAGTACTCATCTCTGTCTATACCGTATTCCTGGATATGTAGGGTATGTTCCTACACCCTATTCATCAAGCCTCTCTAGCACTGAGAGAATGTTAACACTGTGGAAATCTCTTTTAATTATTCTTCTTCTTGGCTTGCACAGAATTGGAATCAATATCATAATGTTGGCTATAAATTGGGACGTGGAAATTGGTTCATGGTTGTTGACAAACAGGACCTCTTTCTTCCAGAGAAGAAAGGGTAAGAAGAGAGCACACATTTTATTCTCCTTTCTCTAATGAGATGCATTTTGGCAGTTGGTTTTTCCTGGAGTGAAAAGAAATCTGATAGCAGTCCAGAAAATCTGTTGAGGTAAAAAAAAATAAAATAAAATAAAAAAGAAAAAAAGAAAAAGTAAAAAAAAAGGAGTGATGACCGCATGTGCTTTTTGCAGGAAGTAGAACAGGATGTTTTGTCTTTCACTGTGAACATGCTTAAATTCCCTTAACTGAAAGCTGGCGTTTTGTTTATATTTAGGAAGAGGCACAGCAGTAGAAAAAAACCATTGGCGTAGGAATAGATCACAGAATCCCTTGCTCTCAAGACTTGAGTTTCTGTGTGACTGGATTCTAACATGAATAAGGATGTCTGTCCCTTAATTTCACGGGTACTTGTCAGTAGTGCAGTTGAAGATCCTTAGTGTTTATGGCCGTTTCCCCAGGTGCATCTCAGTGCCAAATTAGTGCTTTTATCTCTGAGGGTGAGGGAGGCAATTCTATGTAGCTCTGCACCAGAGTCCTGATGGGCAGAGTTACCAGAGCCAACAACCCCCCAAGCACACTGCTCACCTATTACCAGGGTGGAGCCGCCGGTGTTGGTGAATGCAGGCGCCAGGGATGAGGTCTCACCGGCTCCGATTGCCATCACGCCGGGCAGTGAGGCCATGATGAGGTTCTGAGTTTGCTGGCCCAGCGCATGGGGGTTTTGCTCTAGGCTGTGCAGGGCAGTCAGGGTGCTGACGGGGGGCAGAGTTCCTCCGGGAGCTGAGATCTGTGTGAGAGAAGGACAGTGGAAAAGCCATCTGCAGCAGGCTGAGTGTGGAGAGTCCCAAAGCTGTCAGCAACCTCTCCCTGCCTGCCCTTGACCCCTTGCTAACTGGAAAGACTTCACCTTTGCTTGTCTGCAGTCTTTCTGTTTTCTCATGCTCATCAGTTAACCAGCAAAGGTCAGGTGTTGAAATATGAAGAGGAAATCCTTGCTCTTATAGTTCCTTCGTACTTAAAGACTATGAGGGCTGTACAAACACAGATGAGGTCAGTCCCACTGCACTCCCTTTGAAGGGAAAGTTTGTCCTCTGCTTCACAACTGAGGGAAGAGGGCCGTGCCCAGAGAAATTCGGAAGGAAGCTCACTACAGAATCCTCTTTCCTTGTTCACAAGGAGTCCACAAGGAACAAGGAGTTCCTCTTTCTTGTTCACCCCTTCCTCTGAGAAGTGCCTTTAATTTCCCTTCCTCTCAGCGAGAGGCTTTTTGTGGCCAGTTTTCAGATTAAGATTTTAAAGGGCTTGCTGAAAATATTCCTTAGTAGTTCTTTTTTTCCTCGTAAAATATTTTCTTCAGGCTACGTTAACAGTTCCCTGCTGTTAAAGGGGAAGCATATCTGTTGGGCAAATTCTGTGCTTGGATGTCGTGCTGATTTAGGCTGTGACCTCGAGTCACCAAGAAATCTGATAACTGGACTGTTTTCTTGACCTCTGAAATGAAGCACATCACCTCTCTGTGCTCTGATGGGGTTTGAACTTGCAAGGCCCTGTAGAGATCTATAGCTGGGATATTGTGGCAAAAAGGCATTCAGATAAATTGGCTGATGGAGAAATTTCAGTGATTTATACTACACTTTTTCTTTCCCCCTCAGAAAAAATCTGTAAGAATGCTTTACTAAGAGCAAGCGCCAGCAGGTTAAATGGTGGGACAAATTATCAAACAAATACCAGTTCTAGAAGATGGCTTTAGAAGACTTTCAGCATCTCATGCAAGACTTTACTCTTTGAGGAGAAAATAGAAAAACAGATTTAAATCAAACTGATTTATGGTGAACTTAGCTGTGCCATGGGTCAATGTGCACTAATGCAAACTGCTGCCAACCCTGTTAGCAAGGGAGCACGTGGAAACTGAAGCTGACCAGTCATGTTGCCCTAATGCTCAATTGCTAGTTAAGTGGAAAGAGTTATTGTTTTTGTTTTTTTTTTTTTAAGGAAGGAAGGAAGGAAAGAAGGAAACTTGCTTTGAGGAAGGCAGGTTGCTGCAGTGTGGACATCCAGTACATGTCTCAGTGGTGTAACTGGTCTCTGATCTGTTAATCTCATTGGTTCTGCTCAACTCTTTTGGGATATGCAATGTTCAAATGAGAGAGGTGATGAGTGTGACTGGGGAAAGGGAGATGAGAAAAGAGCCTCCTGGGGGGAAGGAAATCAAATCGTGTCACACTTGGAGCTGTGTTCTTTTGGTGTTGGTTGTGCTGTTTGCTTGTTTTTCCACAATAGGTTGTTTGGGTTAGTATTAAAGAAATGCCTGTGCTTCCATGTCGTCCCAACCCCCATCAGTCTGGAGCGCATGGGTATCCCCAGAGTTCTCATATTGCAAAGTCAGTGCAAGGCAGTTGTCCTCTATCTGTAATATGGCTGTTTCAAAGGGCATTCTAGGAAATACCATTTCTGAAGAGTCTCCCCTGTGGCCACCCTCTAGTCGCCAGGACTCTGGTATACGTCACTTACCAGCTTGGTGTCTGTGCTCAGCAGGTTCTGGCTGGGCTCCAGCCCAGGGGGAGAAACCTGATGCAGGATGGTTTGGGTGGTCACCATGGAGCTGTTCCCGTGGTGATTGCTGCTGGAGGACTCTGCCTCGCTGGCTGGCTGCTGGTTGTACCTCACTCCTGCATCACAACAGGGGGAAACTCTGTGTTAAAACCGAGTCACTTCACCAAGTGCTAAGCTCAGTTGCATTTGTGGACGCTGGTCTCTGGGCATTTAGGTCAAGGGCCGGGTTTGCTGTCTCCCTTTCAGATCTCCCTCCGGTTGCTTCTTACCGTGAACTTTGGTGGGTGAGAGAGCAGGAGGTGGCTGAAGGGAGGAGGAGTTGTGAGGAGTGAGAGGGGGAGCAGAGGTGGGCTGCGGCCCGCTGAAGTTGTCCATGGCCAGCTTGTGCCGGAAGGCCTCCTCCTTCCTGCGGTTGGCAAACCAGTTGTAAACTCGCACCTCGGTCACCAGGTTTGAGCCCAGACCCTGGGCCTGAGATGGGGAAACGCCTCTCTGAATACATTCTGCTCTGTTAGGAGAAAGCACAAAAAAGAGTTTTGCTGAGTCTGCCTCGGTCAAAGGCACGCAGTACGTGTGCAACCCCAAAGTGACGACAGTCTTACACGCCACAGGGAAGGATCCTGCTGGGTACAGCGAGACGTGGGGCATTACTGCATCCTTAGCAAACAGGGAATGCTCACGAGTCTCGATTCAAATGTGGCTGATGCCACAAGCCTGCTTCTTGTGGGCCTTAGCACACCAAGCATGCAGAGGCCCTGCTCCGATTCTTCAGAACCAGGCACCCTTCTTTACCTGTTGCACTCTTCCACCAGTGCCTCTCTCTCTTCTTTGCTGGGGTTCTTCTGTCTCTCGTAGGCTTGGAACAGAATCTGTTGTGAGGCAGGACCCCATTTAAAGCGATTTCTTCGTCCCTTCTTGGTGGGCAGATCATCTCCCATGGGCTCCTCTGTCAAGATCCCCTGACCAGCATGTGTGAATTCTGCAGGCACAAAAGGGTGAGGGAGTTTAGAGGAAATGTCATGGGAAACAGAGGGCTGAATCTAGAAGGGGCAGAAATCAAGTTCCATAATCTGCTGAAACAGTTAAGATGTTCCTAGTAGGACTGTGGTGACCTACGCTTTCTCTTACTTGCATTGCATCTCAGCTCCCACCTTGGGGAAGTGAAAACAGATGTGGGAGGCTTGAGAGTAAGTATGATTGGGGTCCCGCTCTCCAGAACAACCCAGAGGCTGACAGTCTTGTTTCAGTTGCAACTCATGAATACAAAGTTAAGTGAGAGATTGCAGGCAGGTTCTTGAATATAGAAGTGCATGCTGCAGTGATGGGTTGCCAGTGGGTGTCTGTATAGAGAGGGCCTGGAGTGTGAGGTGATAGCCAGCAGTGGTTTGTTACAGCAAGTACAATAGTTTGCTGCTTTTTGCAGCTAGGGGAACTGTTGCTTTAGCTGAAAATTGTACCAGCCCGGTGCTCAGACAGAAATGCCTGAGAAATGTCTGTGATGTGTCAGGCACACTGTTTTAGTCTGAGGATGGATTTCAAGCTCCAATGGCAAATGAATAATGTTAGTTTGCATCTCTTTAGCAACATGATGGGTGGAGTGGGTAACTGCAGGCTGTTTTGTGATGGGGCATTTTTCCATGTGCGGTTAGGTTCACTTTACTGATTACTGATGTGGATTTCTCTAAGCTTGCTTCCAGAAATGGCTTTTCCTGCATTTTTTTTCCTTGATAGAAATGTGCAGTAAGGATCAGCAAGGGAGAGCAGAGGCTTTTATGAAGTTGGAAACTGCAGAATAATTACTGCTGTACTTACGCTGGGCCACCTCTCGCTGCTTGCGGACGTACCAGGTGTAGAGGGCTGCCCTTTTTTGGGTCTTCATGGGAGTGCCCTTGTTGAGGTGTTGTGAGAGGTGGGATTGGTTCAGACCAGTTGTGTCCACCACCTCGCGCTGAGGGATGTTGTGCTGTTGGAGGTAGGATTTCACCATCTTTGCTACCCGCCAGGGATCCTCTCTGGAAGGAGCAGAAAATATTTCTCAGGAGAGCTCTCTGTAGCACCTGCACTCGGCAGACCTGCATTCCAAGGAGCTTGGTGCTTCCCTAGGTGCACCATGCATATCAGTCAGCACCACTGCATGTGGTGAGGCAGGGGTGTTAACTGGCTAAAGAAAGGAGAGCTGTTCTCAGTGTGGCACAGCATCTGTCAGAAATTAGGTGGAAAAGATGTATCTAGCTTCCTTTAAGCAGATCTCTGTTGGCACTTTGATCTCCCCTTAGAAAGAGCCATCTTTGGCTATCAGGGGAACTTTCCAAAAGCATGGCAGCAGTCTTTGCCATCTGTGCTTATTTTTATACAAGGCTTTGCCCTGCTCTGTTCAGGCAACGGCCATCTGTAAATGATAGAAGGTGCTGACAAGTGACACAGACAAGGAATGTACATCCCTTTCTGCTGGGAAGTAATAAAGCATTTTTGCTGCTAGTGAATAATGCTGTGGGGAGAGAAGTGACATTGGATCTCAGCATTCAGCTGGATATGTTATGACTACAGGTATCTATTTTTCAGAGATGACAACTATCTTGCCATTCTCTACTTACTTTTCTTCTCTATCCTCTTCAAGGCATAAGTGCTTGGGATAGGTGTAATTCATTTTTCCAAGGCAGATTCACTGTGTTATTATGCTGAACCTAGCTCATGCCCTACATCTTGTCAGGGATGAGAAACATGGCAGAGATTCAGGCAGTGAAAACAGGCTTTCATCAAACTGTCAGAGGACAGCTATGCATGTAATATGTATACACCAAGCAATCTGGCATTATGTGCATCAGCCTTGCATTATTAACATCTGATTAACATCTAGATCCACTCAGACTCCTACTCGCTATAAAGAACAGGCAACCTATTAATTCCTCCTATTGCCACTCTCTGGGGTAACAACTGGAGGAAAACTTGAAGCTAATCTGATTTGAGATTTTATAATGAATGTGAATCTCTGATTAAGACCTCTGATTAGAATATCCACAACTGTTCCTAAGGAGGCGTTCAGTGCCAGTTTGGATGGGGCCCAGCCTCATCTAGTGGGTGCCTTGCCCACAGCAGGGGAGTTAAAGCTAGATGATCTTTAAGGTCCCTTCCAAGCTGAGGCATTCTATGAACTTGTGAGAACAGACAACGTGACTTTGACTGCGACTTCTTTGTGTTTGTCAGTTTCACTGAGGCTGAAACAGGCAGTCTAGAACCAACCAACTCAGGAGCCTCTATGGAAAAGATTCTGGTTCAGTTTTAACAAAGCATCCTTCTGTTTTTGTATGCAGGATATCTGGTGGAGAAGGTTTGCACATTGTAGAAGTACAATGGTGCTGCATCTAACACCAGCATCAAAGGAGCAACGGGGATGAAAAAATATTTCTAATATTATGGGTGATGTGTTGCAAGAATACAGAGATCTGAGCAACTGGCAACAGCTGTACTGTTGGAGGCTTTGTTGATTCAATAGGTTGCCAGAGGCTGCAAAGTGATAAGCAGGACAAAGTCCACACCTGTTCTCTCAGTGCAAATACCCTTATCTCTGTTCCCTTCACAGCCTTTCACAGTGGCTGGGTAGTCCAAGGAGCAAGCTCTGCTGCCATTGTATGTATGGCGGAAGCAGGGTTGGTTACAGCTCTCTGAAGAATCTGTTTTCTTAAATTAGGACCATTTGCTTCTCTGTTATGATGGTACAGTTGCTTACAGAGCTTCAATCTTCTAGCCTACTCCCTTAACTATCTTCGTCTTTTCAGAAGCCTCAAATTGGGCTGAATTTGCAGAGCTTTTCCATCTTCGGTGTCTTTCCTCCCTCAGTGTTTGTGATATGTTCCAGCCAGCACATGTGCCTTGAATTTGTTACACACGTCTCTACACAGAAAAGGCTCCTACTTGTAATCTCTTCTCTTAGATTTGAGCTCTGGCTCAGATGGGGAAAGGAGGGACTGTGTCATTACTGATGGAAACCACTGTTACATATTGATTTCCTTCCTGCAGGCTGATGGTGAGTCACTTCTGTCTTCCCTGTCAAGATCCTTGCTTCTTTGTGGTAGGAACAAAGCGGGAAGAATCCGAGAGTCTCTTTTTCACTGTAGTTCAAAGCCTTGTGCTTTCTTTTCTGTTTGTTTGTTTTATTTTGAGACAAAGCAGAGCGGGTTCTGTAAGGGAAAACACTGCAGGGAAATCTTACCACAGTATAATTTCATAAGGTAGTTAGTTGTATGTAATCCAAACTACTCTGTACATCATCAAAACATGGGCTGTAATATCAGTGCAGCAATTTATTTTGGCCCTGGACTACATCACAGAACAAGCAATGGCAGCTGCTCAGCTGAACCCTGAAATGAGCTGTTGCCCAGATGCTCAGTTCCACCTGCAGAGTCTGCATCGTTGTCACACACATCGTAAGGTAAACCTTAATTCCTTCAGCAGTGGTAGGACGGTCACTGACTGTCAGTTTTCCTGTTTAGCTGTGCTAAAATCTCACCTCCATGGTGAGTTAGAACTGGTGTGCCTCACTCAAGCTCTCTTCTACCTCCAAGCCCGTTTTCTACTTTTTTAATCTTCATTCTTCCCAAATAGAAGCTACCTCTCCATCCCGTTCTTGCTTTGGAGATGTTAAGTTCTTCCTGGAAATTGTTCCACGTAATGCTTACTTCCCAAATCTTGCTTTCAGCTTTCAGTCCTGCTTTCAGTGCTGCTTTCAGCTTCTGAGCATGGCCCCTCTCCCTGACTCCTGTCAGCCACAAGGGCCTGGGTCTTCTCTCCATTCCAGCTTCCCATTTTCTTAGTTTTGAGGTCACTTTTTAAGGGCGTTTTCACCTCCCTTTTGTTACCTGAACAATAAGTAACCCAGGTAGTTAGTTATAAACTCAAAGGGAACAAGAGGCTGGTTGATAATTTATAGCAACATCTCAAATTTAAATGGAAAGTAAATATCAAGTTGTTAGCATTAAAGAAAACCCATTCCAGAGAGCTGGAGATGTAACATTCGGGGGACATTCTCTTTCCTTCACTCTTCTTGACTTTTCCTTCTTTTTCCTTTGTTCCTTTCTTTCCCTTCTTCTTCCCCATTTTTTCCCTCTATTTCTCCTTTCCTTCTTTCTTGTTCTCAGATTCTCAGGCAAGAGAATCCTTTGTGGGTTCTGAACTGCTGTTTGGACCAGAGCTCACTTACGCAGAGGTTCAGAGCAGTGAAGTTCTCAGCACCGTGCTCTGTGCCTTTCCTCTGGAGCCTGCTAGAAGCCCTCACTGATGCCAGTGCACACCTGGAGCCGTGCTGGGCAGAGAGCAGGGAAGGTAAGACCATGGACAGGCTTCCTTTCTGATGAAGTTGGCCTGGTTCGCCTCATCTTGGTTTATATGTGGAAATGGAAGGGGTGTGGCAGCTTCATCTCAGCTTTCCCCCGTTACAGCAACTCGAAGACAGTTTACGTGAGGAAGATATTGACTCTTTATCATGGCTTTTCTTTTTTCCCTCAAGGAAGGCATGCTTTTGACCCTGCCTCTAGGGGAAACCTGTTGCTTATCTCCGTTTCTCTCTTTCCTAATGGCATTTTGCTCCTTGCCCTACAGGTGAACTGCTGCTAAACCTCTCGCCATTCTCTGGACGTGCGGTAACTCAATCTGTCCCTGCTCCCAAGGACGCCTCTCTCTTGCCTTCTGTAGGTAATACCAGGCTGTTCTTTCTCTCTGTAGGGTGATCTAGAAGGAATGTTGTTGCTCAGATTGCAAATTTATGGAAGTTCAATGAGACATTTAGGGATGAAATGATGAAATGTCAACTCCTCACTACAGAAGCGTTAGTCTGAACTGCCTTTATCAGTTGTTTTCTGCAGGGACAAAATGTAATAGGTGCCCATAGGATCACCCAGTTGTGGTGAAGTCTCTTGTCTAATTCCTAGCTTACTCAGCTTTGTTCTGTGCTTCTAAAACCATGCTTCCAACTTCAGTGGTCCTGTGAGGATGTGTTGGGTCTCTTGGTGCTGTCACTTTTCTTTTCCATCTCCTGGGAAGCCTAGCAATGGACTCCCTCTGGTACTACTAAAAGAGTGATACCTGCAGTTACCACAAAGACTTTCTTGTATTGCCTGTAGCTGCCCACAAGTCAATCTCTCTGTTAGAATGTGGTCTACAATATCAGGCCAGGGATTGTTAGCCTGAAGAAAGTTCTTTCTAAAGGCGAAAGAGCCTCCATCTGATTTCTTGACATGAAATCCTTGTGTAGATGCTGAAATAGGTAGTTTTGCAATCATTGAAGTTCCACTGGGAATACCTGGGCTTGGAGATTTCTTGCGTTCCTTCCTTTTATTCATTGCTAGAAGTAATTTCTATTATAGAGTAATTCCTATTACAGATTCTTCTGTCCTGTCTGTAATTACAATATTATTTTAAGGACGTTACCTTTTGGCATCTGTTAATGGAAAGGTTCATTCTTAAAAAAAGAAAAAGCTTTAGTAAGCAACAACTGCTTAGACATTATCAAGCCCTGATATTGGTTCAGATAGTTGGAATGGATTCTCAGACATAAAATTGCTTTGAATATATTTTCTGATCAAAGATCTATACAATGTGATACTTGACAATACAGACTTCCCAGTGTTTTCACTTTACCTTGAATAGTTTTAATCTATTATATTCCTCCATAAATACTCTTCTAACTTTTTGGACTCCTGGTGCATTGCTCTGTCCTGTGGTACTTGGGATTGATGAATGTGGGCTCTGAGGTTCAGAACAAAGCTTTGCAATTACAACCCAGGGTAAGGCTTAGGAGACTCTGGTTCTCACCTATCCTTTTCTCTACCCTCTTATGGTTTTAGGCAAGTCACAGAATCTCTGTAGAAGGGCAGTATTACTCAACTGACTGTCTGCAGAGAGATGTGGGACTGCTGGCCAGAAACCATTAATGTCACAGGTTTGCAAGGGAAGTCAGTCTTGTGCTGAGCCGGATAACATGCACAAGAGAAAACAGTAGCAAGCACCTAGGAAGGCAGAGATGGTCAGAAACCAGAAATTGTGCTAAAGTGAAGTTGGCAGGAAGGAATTCCCTCCATACGTGAGCCTGTTTTCAGATCACAGGCGATAGAACTGAAGTCCTGCTTCACCCATTCATTAAAGAAAATGGGGCAAAGCCAGGAGCTCCTCTTCAGCTTCCATGGTCTCCCTTGTGGACAGATACCTGATCGGAAGTTAATGATCAAAAGGCTTATCAGGGGCTTTTCATCTATAAATTTATAAGACAAAAGAGAAATAATAAAGCCACTGGATAATTAGTAACTAGCCAGGGCCCGCCCGGTGCCACTGGTCTCAAACTACCCCAAGACCTGTACGCAGACTCAGGGAGATGAGAAGGAGGCAGGGATGAGGGGAAGGAAATGCATGGAAGGGAGAGAAAAATTAGCTAGGAAGACATTAAAAAGGGGAGGATTGGCAGCAGAGACAAAACTGAGGAGAGAAGAGGGAATAGGTCCAAAGAATGAGGGAGAGAAAGGTAAGGGGAACAAAGGAGGCTAAAAGGTGTAACAGAGATGGAAGAGCAGAAGAGAAGAAGGAGAGACTGGCCCCAAAAGAAGACTGAATTATTAGGAGTGCTTTCCCCACCCGGGTAGGAGCTGATCCAGTGAATTTACCTCTGTTGGATGCAGCTGTCTCAGCTCGCAGTCCGCCATCTTCCATCTCCTAAGTACTTATGGTGAGTGCTAACTCTGACCTGCTGTTTTTCTGGCTTTGGCCTTTCTGGTGAGATCTGATGTTTTGCTTCTTGTTGTTACCTTTAATATTTATTCTGTTTGCATGTGAAGAGGAGGGATACAGCAATGCCTGAGAAATTCTCTGTGTTTCAGTTTTAGTGAAGATTTTAGGTGCAGGTCATTGCTATGTCTTGGATTTTCTGTCAGCTTGAGATTTCAGAATGTCCACCCCCCAAAACAGATGGGCAGATTCTGCTTCTGAGGTGCTAGATTGCTTGGATGGACATGATCCTTGTTGGGCAAATCTCTTTGCCCACAGAAATATTGTCCCATGAAGAATGCCAAATGGTAATTCCAGTGAATGTTTCTCTGTCACAAGACTTAGTGGTTAGGGAGCTCTGCCTGTCTTTTGGTATTAAAAATGCGTGTATGCAAAGGCAAAATAGTGTGGGTATAAAACCTGCAGTTGTTGCTGCGTATGTACTTTATGGCTGTGACAGAGAGCGGATGGTAGAAGCAGTGGGTTCTGCCTCACTGCAGGTATTTGATTTGTGTGCTTTCTACAAGAAAATCTCCACTGAAGTCAGCATTACTAAGCACTCGTGGGATGAGAAGTTCCCTTGGTTTGTCTCTGACCATCAGTACTTCAAAGAGCAGTAAAGTTAAAAATATTTATCACCTTAAAATTAGCAGGGAAACTTCACAGCTTCACTTTACCATCAAGTCACTGGCTAACATGATACCTGTTAAGAGTGTGACCAGATATTATTTTTTCTTTCCTTGATGACTGAAATTTTGAATCCAATAAAAGTATAAATGGCGGAAACTAACGTTTAGTCAAAGATGCAACTTACACAGCCCACGAACTGTTCTTGAGCCTGATGATACAAGCGTTTCAAACTCGTAATCAGGCTTCGTGGCTCCCTTTATGCATTGAAGTGAAATTAAAAGAGAAAGTTTGAGCATCTGTAAGAGTATGGGGAGTGTTCTGGGGGGATAGTTGGGCATGGATGGAACTCTGCAGCTAGATCAGTTGTGAGCACGCTGAGCATAAAAGGCAAGGAAAAGAGACTTAGCGGGAGAATGCAAGAAAGAGCAGCAAAGAGGAGCAGCAAATTATTTCCTTACTGTAATAGTCTTTCCACCACAGCCTTCTGGTGAGCAGCCTCCTCAGGGCTCAAGTTTTCCAGCTCCTTCATTATCGGAGGGGTAAATTCCTCCCCGTCATCAGAGGTTTCATCTTCCGACAACCTGGTTTCCCCCATTCCATTGGGGAGATTGGGGATTTCGGGGCAGGACTCCCCTTTCTCTGTCTGCAGGGCATTGATAGCATGCTGACTTTCACTCTGGAGCATGTAGGGTTCCACTTCGCTCAGTGCCTTGATCAGGGTCTCCTTGGTTAGCCCCGACTCCAGCAGCGCTCCCAGCAGCTCCACTTGAAGATGGCTCAGCTTCGAGACCATGGTCTTCAGGCTGCAGTTCTTTGGGTTTGAGTTCCACGTTATCCTGCTTCCAGCTTCCCTACACCATGTTCCTGAGGTAACACGCCCGACTGTCAGCAGCGGGCACAGCGCAGCCTCCCGCCTTTACTCCCCCCCAAAAAAAACAAAATACAAAATTGAGCCACTTCGGACCCCCCACGACTGTCCTGAGCCAGTGCTGATAAAGGGACCCTTGGCTATCTGTTTACATTGGTAAATTCTCCAAGGTTCATATTTATCTGTGTGCTTAGCAAGTTACTGAACTTTGGACTTCAGCACTGCAGCAGCAGTTCACAAAGTGCAGAGGGAGAGAAAGCAGGGGGAGGGGGAAAGGGAGGGAAGCAGAGAGAGGAAAATGAAGGGATAGAAGGTCTGCCAGCATGGAAAAGTAAGCCATGGAAAGAAAACAAAGAGAACAAGAGTGGAAAAACAAGGCTTACTTTTGGCCCCATTCATTTTAGAGAAGGAAGAGGTAGAGTACGTACGAGGAAGAGTTGCGTTCGCCAATGTTGGAAGGTTGCAGAGCCTACTCTGAGCTCTAGCTGTGGTGGGTTGAGCTACTCTCAGCTCTTGCTGAGAGCTTTGGGCTGCAAAAATACTGCCTCGGCAGCTTGGTTTGCCTTTGTACAGCCCTCCAGCAGAGACGAGTGACCACTGGGTTGGTTTGAGTGTTCCCAAGACCCGCAGGATGTTCTGGAGCTCCTGCTGACTTCTGTGGCAGAGCATTGAGTCTTAAATGATTTTTTTTTTTTTTTTTTGCTTTTGCCTTTGGCTTGCTGGGTACCTTAATATGCAAACATCAGCACTTGCCATAAGAACTTGCTACGTTTATTGCTGAATTGATGAGAAAAAGCTGTGTACACACGTAATTCAGATACTGCTTGCCCCACTGAGCTTGTGATTCAAGCACATGGTAGGGACTAGCCCTGGGTGTTGGTACATGCTGAGAATCCCTATCTGCAGCTGCCCTGCTTCTGAGAAGTGCTCTGGGCAGTTTTGGCTCCCATTTATCACCTACGTCTCTTGATACCAACCCTGCTCTAATGTTCTACTCCCACCTGTTGTTTGAATCCTGAAAACATGCTCTGTAACTTCACTGGAAAAATTTAGGGCAATTCTCATGGAATCTTCATTTTATGATATTTTCCAGTCTGAAAATATATGAATGATTTTATCCATTTTGAAGAATTAGGAAATAACTTGGCGTGGATTTGATGGTGCACGAGCATCTTGTAAATGGTTCCTTCTTACGTGATCAACAGGAGGACTTAAAACTGTTGTTTTATTAGAAGTTTCCTATGGGCAGCCACTCACCTTGTTCTATATCACTTCCACTAAGCTCAAGAGAAGGGGAGCCCAATAGAACAGTCTCAAAAGCAACAAGTATTCCAACACAGTGCTGCAGAATGGCCTGGGCCCCTATTCTTCCTTCACGCTCTCCAGGCGCCTGTGACAAGGGGCCAAGTCAGCAGCTGAAGGGCAGAGTGTTTTCCAGATGAGACCCCCTCCTTCCTCCAGGCTCAGCAAGATGTGCTTGGGCTGCTGGGCTGACCTTCCCAGCCAGGGCTGTTGCTAACTATCACCTTTTGTTTCAGATGGCATCTACACCCAGGTACCACCCGTTCCCCCTGCTGCAGCATGTTAAAACAACTCAGGTGGCTACAGAAGGCTAAAAAGAAGTAAACTTTTGGAGTCCATGTTAAAACAATGTAAGAAACTCGAGTGTGAACACATAAAAAGACGTCTTTAGTTTCAAAGATTCATATTTATTATAATACAAAAAGAGCATTTAAGAAGCAGTGAGATTTGAGATTCTCCTATTGATGCTTTGATACAGTTTGTGTGCATTTTACTCCCAATTACAATTTTGCTCATCCCCACCCTAGTAGACATGCCAACAATACTGGCCAATAGTAGTAATTGTGCATGGCAGGTACAGCATCCAACCCCAATACATAGTTTATTTGTGATGCATCCTTAGAATTCAAGGATTTTATGAGTGAGGACAACAGACTGGGGGTCTCCTGCAATGAATGACAAACATTCTGTCACACGTTACTTATTTATCTTTTTCTGTGGTATGATGATTTCTCTTATTTAAACTAAGATGGACAGTGTTACCACTGTTCTTATTTAAAAGGTTGCCTGCTCTGAGTTCTGTGAGTGTACGTGCTTGCTGTGTGCTTTGGGGGTGGGGGACACACAGCCCCGAGTTCAGACATAACCATCAGTCTGCCAAGGGAACTGTAAAGAGAAGAAAACGTAACAACAAATGATCTGCCTATATTGTGTGGTTTGAAGGATTCCTTATACACTCAGAAGCCTTCTGCCTTGATTCCGTGCACCCTGCAGACCTGCAGCTGCGGAGGCTTTTAGAACAGCCTGTCTCGAAGCCAGTGGGATTTGAAGACTGTGAAAACAGAAATGAATGTCCGATTGTAGGTTGGGACCTCACTGAATGCTACGGCTGGATGCCACGTGGAGAATCCTGAGCTGAATATGGAATCTATTCAAGTACTGGAAAGGGGGTAAGTCTTCTCCATCACTTTAACACTCTAAACTATAGGCACGTAAACAACAAAGAAGTAAGCGTTCTTTAAACAACTCCATCATCACCTTTACCTTCGCTGTAACTCACCAGCCCGTGTTAGTGAATGGTTTGAGGCTCCATTCAGTATTTCAGGTTCTCCAGTGCAGGAAAACTAGTGATCTTTATAGTGTTTCTTCAGAGTTCCAAATTATGAGCAATCAGACCGTGCGCTTGGGAAAAAAAGAGGAGACTGCTGCCATGTATTACCTAGCACTCCTATTTTATGCACTGACACAACAGATTGCAATATGGTATTTCTCAGGTTTTTACCATTCCCATAACATGCTGCTGGGAGGTGTGAGGTATTAAGGATAGCAGAGGCCAAGGTGGGTAACAGCAAAGCTTTAAGGCTGGATTCCAGTTCTAGTAGCAGAGCAGAAAGTAGATAGTAGAGTGCTATAACCCAAACAATATACTCCTGTAACTAAATTGCACCTCACAGATTTTGCATTGAGGATGAGTATTTGAAAGACAAGGAGTTTGTTTTGCTATACTCATTTTCATTTATTACCAGTGTTTAGTATGTGTTGATTTCCTTAATTGCAACAATTTGCTGGGCTGTGACTTGATTCTTAAATTACTCAGACTGAGGTGATCATCCTGGTGGTTGTGGCAGGGCCAGCTCTTCGAGTTTGGAAACACCAAATGATTTTGCTCATTCTTCTCTTGTTTGCAGTATCTGCTTTTGAATTTCTTGCTGCAAAATTGCTTGCTTTTCCTTAAGTTCAGTGCTCCAATGATAAGACATAAGCAGCTCTACTACACTAAACTGGCCAGCAGTAACAGCAGGCTTGTGAATAATGTTTTAGTAACAAATTGGTTTAGATGCACATTTGAGAAACGTATCAATTAGTAACCACAAAAAGGCTGATTTCTATTTTATTTTAATGGCAAACATAATAAATAATAATTTCCCTGCACATAGCAGGGGGGTTGAAACTAGATGATCATTGTGGTCCTTTTCAACCCAGGCCATTGTACAATTCCATTCTACAATAATAAAGACTCTTTAAACATGCTTGAATGCTTTGCACTGTTGTATGTTTTTCAGTTATGTTTTTCTTCACTGCTCCTGAATTACAGACAGTCTAGGCCATTTTAGGTAAGGATGTGCCCACTTCCTCCAGTCTTCCTCCATTAACTGTTCCAACGTAATCTTTCTCTGCTGCATTTAATAGAGTAATTGAACTGTGGATTAATTAATACTGACAGCTGCTGCATGAAAGTATAAATGAGTATACAGTAGGATTTTCTTATTATTTAGACTTATTAGTCTGTATTCTCCTTATTACACCAGGGAAAAACCCAAGTAATAGACAGTAGGGTACTGGGAATGGAATGGAGAGCAGACAATAGACGCCCAAAGCCTGAATTCTAGTATCAGTACGACTGTTACCTTTGTTTTCATGTGCTGAGTTATATCCATCCTTAAGTGTTCCTGATGAAAAATACAGTAATTGGCTAAGATAAAGGCAGCCCAATGTGACTTCAAGGAACACAAAGGGAATGAAAGAAATCTAACTATTTCTATGACAGAAATGCTAGCAGAGCAAGCTTGTATGGGGCTGTGAGTGCGGTGGGAACATTATCACTGGCAAAAGAAATGCAGAGAAGTGGTTCTCCTAGTAATTCTTTACCATTTTACTCTTCTTCCTGCTGAGACTGCTAAATGCTTCATTGGCCTGGATGGCATTTAACATCACCTCTGTGAAATCTGAGAGTTGTTATTACAGTGTTCACTCCTATTTCCACGGTTGGAAAAAAAGAATGCAAATGACAAAACCGATTCTAATTTGCGCCCCGGGAGCTCAGTGCCACGTGGTACCCAGGACTGTGAACAATCCAAGGTAATTGCTGTTTGTGTTGCTTCCAGAGGGTTTCAACACAGATTTCAGTGTTGGTGCAAAGCCTGGGTATCTCAGTGGGAAAGGACTCACTCAAATACATCGTGTTAATGTTCCCAATTATACACATTTAATGCTTTAATTGAGTAATCTTTGTTGTAAATATGAATAGTAACACCATTGAAAATATGACTTTACAAAGAAGGAAATTCTTTTTTTCCCTCCTTCCCTATTTTCAATTACAATTAAGAGTACAATCAGAAGATTTTAAGAGGGCAGTGCTCTGTTGTGACTGAGACACAGGAACAACCTAACAACTTCCTCCTCATCACTGCTGGCAGGACGCAGTTGCATTCAGAAGAATGAATGTTTTGCTCTTTATGACCAAAGGCTGTGTTTAAATTTTGGGATTCTTGGTGATGCTGAGGCCGAGCTGTAGCAGCCATTAAGAACTACAGCAGATGCAGAGCGGGGAGTTCTGGTGTGACAACGCCTTAGGACCCAATGGCCTTAAATTAGAGGTGATCTCTCTCTTTACAATTCTTATTCTGGTACAGGGAATCAGGACAGCGTCCTTCTCATTCATCTGTCAGTTTCCCCCTTTACTTACACACAGCCTCCATCATCAGGGTGAGGATCTTTGAGAATAGGAACGGCTGTGGAGCTCAGTTAATGAAGGAGTTTCCCACTAGGTGGTAGTGAAGAGAATCATGTCATATACTGGTCAGAGCATGTTTTAATTATTTTTTATCAAGGGGAATCCCATGAGGATCTTACAAGCAGAATAACCTAACATAGCTCTGAGCTATACTGTCAAAACTGGATCTCTTAATTTTTTTCGTTCCCTTTTTACTCATTTCCATGCCATTTGTTCCTTCCAAAGCCATGCAGGGTTGACAGCTTTACTTATTATGTGTTCTCCTGAAAGGTGAAGTGAATCTACATGAATCTATTCTGGCTTTCTTTCCACCTCCATTATAAAAGCATAAAGGCAGAGTTGGATAACGCCATTTAAGCCTTTAGGAGGTGAGGACTTTGCAGCCAGTCCTTTGATCTGATTCTCCACCATACTTTCCTGTCTGTGCTCTGAGAGCTACATAAAAGAAAATACAATATTTTTGGTTGCTGCTAGTTTTGAAATACTTTGACAGGTCAAAGCAGTGCATCAGTCTATATCAAAGGCACCAGACAGAACAGCTGTTTTGGAAGGGCTTTGTAATGTCAGAGTACATTCTCACTGAAATTCAGAGTAAAGCTCCCCTGTAGGTCCAAAGCAAGCACATACAAAAGAGATGATGAGAAAATGATCTGGGGGGATGCAGGCTGTGCTCCCCTTTAGAGTAATGCAGGTGCTGTGTCTGCAAGGAGGAGAACGTTTCTCCTGTGAATTCATCCAGCTACTCTAATGTAATGATAGACCAAGCTTGCAAAATCATGTAGTAGTTTATGCACCAACCCTGAGATGCTGGGAAAAAAAAATTATACTTCAATAGCTCACCAGCTAAAAGTCACTGGTGTCAAATTAATGTGCTGTAAATGTTGCAAGATAGAAATTGGAAGGATTTCAATAAGCAGGAACATTGTTGCTTTATAGATGCCAATGCTGTTTTACAACGTCTCAGGGGGAAAAAAAAAAGTTGAGTATCAAGACAAGGTTGAAACATTTGTTTATCTTCCTCTGCGTTGATTCAAAAGATGGGAGAGGTTTTTTCTTTTGCATTCATTGTATCATAATCACTGAAAAGGGATGCATATCCTTATCCTGGGATTGCATCACAGCAGAGGGAAGATTTCAAATTATTTGTCAGCTTTCTAATTGTTACGACATGTTGCATTGCTGGGACAAGGAAGGAAAAGCAAGATTCCTCTATTGTGGAAGTTTTATAGTTTTATTTCCTAGTTTGAGATTGGGGAGGGGGAGAGGAGAAACAATGAGCTCCACCAGAGGGGTCAGCTGGGCGCTGCTCCCTCCAGCTCAAGGCTCTGTGACTCATCCTGCTGTCCTTGCACCACACGGCAGAGTTTAATGCGTACAGAGATGGGCAGCGCGGTGGTGGGTGAGCTGGGGAGCAAAGAGAGGAGGTCAAAGAGAGGAGAACATCTCGCAAGGTAGCCCAACCTGAGCCAGGCTGGGAGCAGATGCTTGGACTCCTATCTAACAAACAGTGCAGCCACTGGGGAGCCAGTGAGCCTGTTGGTTACCGTGCTTTTGGTATTCCCCCCACAGCTGATAAATCCAATTTTAAGCGTATTTTTCTTAGCATTGATCATGGCAGTAGCTCTGACGTCCTTCCTGCCCCCGAGGCTGAAGGGCTGTGCGGAGCTGCGTGCCAGCATCCCAAAGCTGTGGGACCACTGCAAGAACCCTACGGAAAACAGAACGGGGAGAACGGGACTGACTTCCACCTCCAGAGCGGCACTTAACCACGTTTCAAATACAAACGGAGCAGAGAAGCCTCCAAGGCGCAGCACCAACTTACTGAGAGCAGCTGAAGCGAGGTACCAGGCGCTCCCTCCGTGCAATGTGTGCGCGTACTGCGGTTCCCTCTTTGCTGATGTGGAAACCGACCCAGCAGAGCTGGGGCAAAGCAGCCCAAGGCACATTTCTGGGAAATTCACGCTCCGTTTAATGCTCGAATTTAAGAGCCACCTTACCGGATCCCTTGCGTTTACCACCTGCTCCTCTTTCGGCACAACCCAAAGCCTCGGCACAAAGCCCATCCTTAGCTCCAGAGCACAGCACAGCCCTTTCTCGGGCAGGACGAACCCGGCTCCCCGCCCCTTTCCCAGCCTTCACCATTACCTGCCCGCCCGCACGGTCGCGGTGCGGCCGGGCCCGACAACCGCAACCACCACCATCACCCCCCGCGGCCTCGAGTTCTCTCCCCGCGCGTGCGCGCGGCGGCGGCACGTGAGCGTGTTGTGGGCACGTGATGCCGCGCGCCGCCCGCCCCCACG